TTGTAACTCAATGACCCAGTGATGATCATCATTTTGGCCGATGATCCAGCGAACTGCATCGTGCCGTGCCACAGGTCTACCGCTCCTCGCGCCTTTTGTCGCCCAGCGAACAGGCAGTGCCTGCGGCAGTGCGGCAGAGATTTGCTGTTGGATAAAGCTATAAACCAATGGTAATAACTGGTTGGTGGTGAATGATGGTTAATGATGGTCGGTTAATGATGGTTAATGATGGTTAATAATGATTAATAACTGGTTGGTGGTTTCAAAGATTTGGATTATGTTCCATTTCATATATGGATGTCATCCTTCCCATTGACGAACTCATATTTTTCAGAGGGGTAGGTATACCACCAATCAGATCAAGTACAAAGTGAACCGTGAGCTCCCAAATGATAGCTAAGCTGGCTTTTAACTCTACTGACTTTGCTTTATGATACTTACAGTAGAACTTATAGTGAATGGGGTTTATAAGCCAACTCTTACAACTTTGGGGCCCCACATTGTAGGTATACGTAGGTATGCCCCTAGTAATCCAATGGTATACAATAATAAGTGGTAAAATGAAGCAACAACCATGATTCCATGATGGTATAGCAAGCCCCATAATCAGGGGATATATGATATATATATATACTATATAAGGATGTTTGTGGGATAGTATTACTATAATGTTGGGACTATCACTGATAATTATGGGTTAAGTATATTAGGGGTGATCTAAAATGACCCCTGTTTATGGTTGATTTTGGGGGATGATTTATTTTTTTGGGATTTACTGACTACATCAAAATATGAAGATGGAAGATGGTGTACCCTCTGGTGAACTAACATAGCTATGGAAAATCACCATTTTTAATGGGTAAACTCACTGTAAATGGCCATTTTCAATAGCTATGTAACAAATTACCAGAGGGTACACTTCGGGAATCGAACATGGCAATGCAGCCAATGCTGTCAATGCTGTCTGGGAAAATTGTTGAACAAAAAAAAATCACTAGATGGAGGACTTTCCAGCCAGGGTTGACTACATTGCTAAGGCGAGTAAATATTGATAAATATTGTATATGTCTGTTTGTTTGCATGTGAAATCATGTGAAGATGTCCATTGAAGCGATTGAAACACCGAAAAGATTGCCTGAGATCCCATATCATCCCATATCCCTGATAGCGTATCATACCTTCTAGTAAACTATACAATAAATGGAACATCACCATTCTTAGTGAGGGAATCATCAAACTACATAGGCCATGGAGTAAACAGATGGAACCTTTTTCTCATTTGTAGATTGGTAAATTCATTGAATTTACCATTAAAAACCATCCATGTATAGGAGGGTATTGATGTTGGTTTATAACTCCAATAACTAGGGTTTATGATACATATACATATTGAACTAGTTAACTAGTTCATGGGGGTTATTTCTACCAACAAAAACAACTGGAGGTATTATATATATATGGTATTATAATTGTATTATATATATATATATCATTATCATCATATACAACTGGATGGTGGTTTATGATACATACATCAACTCTCAACGTTCATATTATGCAACATTAATGTGAATGTGTGTATATATATATACATATCAACTCATAACTCATCGCATTGTATACATATATATATATATATCAACATATCATATATATACCCATAATAAGAATACTATATATATGGTCTATGTTCATCTACCCAGCCACTATCGAGATCCTCCGAAAATCCTCGACCTCTCGCCGCGCACGGATTGAAGGCAGATTGCCTCATCCGCCAAGCGCTTGGATCTCAGCGGAGATAGGCCATGGTACTCCCTTAGATCATCCATGGATGGACAGTTCTAATTGGCGAAAGCCATGGTAACTTGGGGAACTTGGGGATTCCCCATGTTTTTTTTGGAAACCACCATATAACAGATATAACTTTTAAAAGTAGGTTCCAACTAGGTGGTTCTATCGAGGATTACATTTCTTAGGTGGATTATAGAATCAGCCAACTAGAAACGTCCCTGACTAGCAGCTTTTAAGAATCGTACAGCATCGTCAAGTTACATGGGTTATTTTCACATAGCTTCATGTATGATCATCGCACATGAATGAAGGCTTATCCCCATGGCCATAGATCCCCATAGATCCCCATCGAACCAATCCATGGATATCCCATGAAGATTTCAGGATCCTACAAAAATATCATTATAGAGGGCATATAACTAGATAATCCATGGATATCCTACTATAATCTATAGATGAGGTACCATATAAATCTATATTTTGAGGGCATATCCACGTACATAGCCTTAGATAGGCCTTATATAACTTACATATGGTAGGTACCTCCAATAAATCGCTACCTGTTGCATGGCCATTGAATTCATGATGGGATAACCAAAGTGTGGTGACCTCACAACAAGCTCCATGATATGTGTAATGATAGTTTGGAAGGCATGAACTCAATGGGAATTCCAGGATCCTAAAATGGAGGTACGTTAGTACCATATGTTTGGCCATATTTGGGGGGGATATCCCCTTACATAGGCCTGAAAAATAGGCCTTATATATGGAAGGTACCTCCATTTTAGGATCCTGAAATTCCCATTGATGAACGGACCTCCAATGTTGGAGATTATGGGAAGCTTTGTGACTGTGACCTGTGAATTTATTCGAGGGTAATATTGACTGCACCTCGTGTGACTGGAAGATTTGCACAATTCAAACTGTTCGTTTTGCAGGGTCTATGATGGTCTATGTCTATCCCCGGAGACTTGGGTCACCCGTTGCACAGAACACCGTGACAGCCGTGACAGCCGTGACAGCCGTGACAGCCGTGACAGCCGTGACAGCCAGGACCGACCCCAACATCTTAGGGCGAGCCTGGGAGGGTTGGGTGCCTCGCCTGCATGCACCATATCCAGGTGTCCACCGTTTTCGACTGATAGGTCCGAAACCAGGTTTTCTACGCAAGTCTCTTGCGATTCTGTGAGGTTTCAACTCGGAAAATCAGCTGCCAATTTCACGTGTTCCTTTGTATGGATATTGTTGGGCTGAAGGATGGTCTATTCAAAGGGTAAAATCTCCTCGTGGTAAGTTGCCTTTGTCCATCCTCTTGATGGTGGTTAGTTTCAATATGTGTCAGTGTCAAAAGTTGAATTTAACAATGATTTAACTTTTAACCATAAACAATGCTGATCTTATGGGATATGCATGTAATATATATATATATGTATATATATATACATACAATAATAGGATATAGAACCAAGGCAGAACTTCGATGATATACCTAGTTTCAACCGGGGCATTCTTGGGGCATCAATTTTTCGGGGGTAGCCACCGCCCTGAGAGATCAGCCAAGGCGCCGGAGATTTGATTTAGCCGTAGCCCTCTTGACTCCGTGGCAGATGGCCTGGACTTGAGGTTCCGTTAACGCGAAAAACCCGTGGTTCAAACGTGGTGAGTTCATGTGGTGAAAACGGGCCTGGAACTGCTTGGCCGTTTGGCCGTTTGACACTGTTAGGTTGAAATAGGTTGAATGGGTCATGGCAAAACAAGATCTGAAATACCCTCTGGTAAACTAACATAGCAATAGAAAATCACCATGTTTAATGGGAAAATCCACTATAAATGGCCATGTTCAATAGCTATGTTAAATTACCAGAGGGTAACATGTTGTAAAAAACGGATATGGAACATAGTACCTTCATCAAAACCAACGTGGGGAAACTGCAGAAACAATCGACCAAGAAGCATGGCTGATGAGCAAATAGGAAACATCCGCAGATGATGCGGCAATAATGCTCCTTGAGTTGACAATCAAAAATAAACAAAAAAGACAGTGTAAGATAAACAAAAAATCAGCGTGCCTTCTGAATGTGGGAGTTCCTCCTGATACCTTTCTGGTGTGTATAGTTGCAAAAAGATCTGACACCATTTTGCACTTGTGCTGGCTTTGCGATGATTATGTCTTTTGGGTGTGTTGCCGACCCGTTATTCATAAAGCAGAACTGCCAGCAGCGGCGTGGGAATTCAAAGAATGCCAAATTCAGATGAGAAGTGGCCAAAAAAAACAAGGGTTGTCTATTATTGTTGTAGTTGTTTTTCTCTGCTTTGTAGATGTTTTAGGAGTTGGATCCCGGTTGCTCCCAATATTTGGTCAAACATGGCGGACACATGTTGCTGTTGCCTATATCCTCATAAGTCCTCGTATATGTTCGTGAAACGTTGCTTCTACCTTCCCCCAATATTCAACACTCCCCCAGAAACCATCAGAAGCCAGGGTTTTATATAGTTTAGTGTCGTTTTTCATAGGGATTTGCACATATTTGGGACCATCCAGGAGGTGTTTAATATAGGGGGATCGGATTAGATGGAAAGACGTGACATTTCCAAGTGCCCTGGTCACCACGTCCTGCCCGTGCGCCGTCCTTAGCGTTGCACCGCGCTGTACGCCCTGGCCCGGTGAACGAGCCCAAAGTTTCGGCTGGCGCTGTGCAGAAAAGGCTGCGTCTGAGAAGATGTCAAGGTAAATCAAACCTCCAGTCCAAGATTAGATGCTTCAATCAACTTGAATTGTTGAAAGCAATCCTGGAAACAAAAAACACATGGACAATGCATTCAAAGATTTGAATATCGCTAAGAGACATATCAATCCCCTGGCTACAAGGGTCTGAAGTTCTCCATCCAGGCAACATGCCAGAGGAATTTGGTTCACCCCTCGGATGAAAATCTCTCAATCCTGACCTCAGCTGTTTGAGAGCTTAAACCAACTGTGGCCATGGTGTGAGAGCAGTGCTAGGACGGAGCACGTGAAAGATTCTCTGGAATGTTCATTTCATGGCGATTCCCACATCCCAAATCATGATCAATTTCTAAGCCGCAAGGCAGCACAGCACACAATGTGGCATCAAAGTGGCCTATGGATGTCCTTAATTTCATGAATTTGGAATATGGATGTCATATGTCAGGATAGTAAAAGTTGTTCCATTTACATTGACCCAGATATATTGGATCCTGGTTGGGAATTTTGCTGCGAACTAAGCCATGGCTTTGATTCAGGAGGCCTTTGGAGACCATGCAGATTTGTACAGCCTGCTTGGAGTGGAGAAGGAGGCAACTTCTGCACAGATCAAGAAGGGCTACCACAAGGCCGCGCTGAAGTGGCATCCAGATAAAAATCAGCAGCAAGATGCGACACTTAAATTTCAAGCACTTGGGGAAGTGCATCGAATTTTGAGTGATGCTGATCTGAGAAGTGAGTACGATGAAAGCGGTGTGGTGCCTGATTCCGAGTCAGCCACAAAGATGAATTGGTCAGCCTACTTCGCCAAGATTTTCAAGGTGGGACATGGACTTTTAGATGGGACATCAGCTTGGAACCCCAAATGGCTGATCAGGATAAGAATATCGTCCAGGTGTTGGGGAAGATTGCAAGTTGATTCAAACTCTTCAAGGTTGGTATTGTATTTGGTACTGAACTACCTCCAGGAAATCGTGTTTGAGGTTGGATAGTTTTGTTTTTTGTTGCAACAAGCATTGAACAACATCACCCAGCCATGTTGAACTACCAGCTGGTACGGCCATTTTGATGTTATCTGGTTGGTGGTTTGGAACATTTGTTATTTTTCCATAGATTGGGAATGTCATCATCCCAACTGACTTTCATATTTTTCAGAGGGGTAGGTCTACCACCAACCAGATCATCAGGATACATTTACCCCATTCCATACTAGAATGGATAGAAACCCATGATTCAAATTCTAGTTGGATATCCCATTCCATCCAGTTATTGTTGTTGAGTCTAAAGCCTTCGTTTTCGAGGTGACTACCAAAGATATCGACAAGTTCGCCACCAAATACGTGGGCTCTGCAGAAGAAAGAGCCGATGTCTTGAAGTTTTACGTTGAAGGCAATGGTTATTTGACGGATCAGCATGTTTTCCTATGTTCCCCACCAGGGTTCCAACTTCTAACTTAGTTTCGCAATAGCAACAGGCTGTATATGATGGTTTATGTATATGTGTATTTACCCTCTGGTAAACGTTTACATAACTATGGAAAATCACCATTTTTTTATGGGAAAATCCACTATAAATGGCCATTTTCAATAGCTATGTTAAATTACCAGAGGGTACATGTTTATTTACTATTTGAGAGCCCAACACATCCGCAGATGACCAGAGGGTAGGTTTTGGATGATTTTGGATAATCTGTTGCTCAAGATCCCCTCGTATTCTGAGTACTATTGGGTTATTCCGCCCGCTGCATTCTGGTGATCCACAAAGTTTGAAGACTTATTTGGCAAACCAGAAAAAACGCACATCAATCTTAATACACTCCCAGTCGAAGAACAGGGAGGGTTCCTCCCAAATACATCATTCGAATCAAAGAAGGTACCTACCTGTTCACATCCCCACGTATAAGATCGTATAGGCGTCATTTGTAATATCAACAATGGATAACCATCCAGCAATAAGGGTTGATAATAATCTGGGCAAATTATAACGACCTCACTGCGACCTCACTGGAAATAATGGTTTATGTTGGGGAAATCATCCCCAAATGCCATTAATTCAGGTTAGTGAAATATTATAATTTACCCAGCCAGAATAATTCATAGAGGGTCCAACATATAATGATCATTCCGAGAATGTCACGGTATGCCCCCATATAGAAACCAATGCTACAATTTCATAAGGCAAGGATTCCAATCAAAGATGGCACGCTTCACAGAAATCAGCTCGTGTTTCTTTCTGCGATAAAAAAATATCAATATCCCATATGATATCATATGTTCCATGATTCCATGCATGATTTTCATATGTGTTCATTAAAAACTTCCAAAATGGGCCATGTTGTGGTTCCCTCAATGAGGACCCCCAGATCAAGATTTGGAGCCTACTTGTGGGAGTTTTTATGGTTATGTCTACAACAGTAGCCATGCCATGGCGTGTTCACCCCTAAAAGGTTGGGATATAATTGATATATATACATCTGGGTAAATTATAACGACCTCACTGCGACCGAACCCTGGAATCATGGTTTATGTTAGGGAAATCATCCCCAAATGGGCCGAACCATTCAGGCTAGTGAAATATTATAATTTACCCATATATATATATAAATACATATTTATATAATACCCTCTGGTAATTTAACATAGCTATTGAAAATGGTGATTTATAGTTGATTTTCCCATTAAAAATGGTGATTTTCGTTAGTTTACCAGAGGGTACAACTTCACCAACTGCACCCCCATGATGTGAACCACATGGCTTATGTTCTTGTTTTAGATCATGGCGCTGAGGTGATTTGGGCTTTGTGATCGAGAATGTGATGCTTTCCTCTGAAGGTGACCGGGAGAGATTCGAGGAGATTCTTAGCGGCAAGCTATGGCAAGCTCTGCGAATCTACGAATCGTGGTGCAGTTGGGATTACTCATGGATATACCCTCTGGTAAACTAACATAGCTATTGAAAATTGCCATTTATAGTGGATTTCCCATTAAAAATGGTGATTTTCCATAGCTATGTTAAATTACCAGAGGGTAGCCATGGTGATAACCTTCATAGGTTGGGATATAACCACTATAATTAAAGTTGTACAACCACTTTTAGCTGGAACTACAACCCAAAGTATGATCAGTCGGGTATTGTTGGAGTACTCTCCTTGTTGAACCTTTGTTTTGCTATAAGGGAATTAAATGTTTTTTATGGAGTTATTTTTTCATGAAAATTGATGGCTAGTACGGGAAAGTACTACAAGTTTATGTTAAGTGTGGGAATCATGTACCCTCAGGTAAGCTATCCTGGCAATTAAACATCCATGAACATCCATCGTTTATAGCTCTGATTTCCCCATTCAAACCTCCATTCCATTGCCACATTTCATTACCGGATACCATTTGCCTAGGACGAGATGGGGGAATCAGCTGCTTTATGGCCTTAAACAATCTTGACCCATACTCCTCATTTGGAAGCAAATCAAGATAATCAAGGACCTGATACACTCAGTGATTTTGTGGTAGATAGGTAGTTCATGTTTTATTTCTGATATCATTGGATATCTGTGGCCAGCTGTATTATCTCGCCGGCAGCTTTCAATGCCACGTGTTTTGGGGGGTTCTACTTGGCCTGTAATCCTGTAATCCTGTATGTTTGTTGATGTTTTTTTTGTGTTGTTTTTTCTTTCATACTTGTTTTTGTTTTGTTATGTAGCTTACCTGATTTTCCTTTATTATGTAGTGTGAATTATGTTTGTATCTCTTTCAGTATTTCTACAATATCCTTCTTGTTCCAAGCAGTTTCATGTTAGCATTTACCACAAAATTGCGCTGTTATTCTAATTGTTTGTAGGTTTAGCATTCATAGTGTTCTTGTACATCAAACTACCAATCATTCTCCCGCTCAGTTTCCATGATTTTGCCTTCCGGACGATGTATATATATATGAATTGTATGTATTATTATTACTACTACTATTATTTTTATATATCATACGGATTAATATAGTCGTCTTCCACATTGCATTGAGGATTGCCTTTCGTTGTGGCACTTAGTCGCTGCGCAACCATCGTAGACCCACCCACAAAGCACATACCTATGCTTATACATTTTTGTTCATCCTTTAACATTTTTCACGTACTTTACATGTTTATGCACATCTATACATCATTTTTCGAAGTTGATATATGTTTGAATATATGTGTACATACATATTACAGTCATATATATATATACATATGCATACATATTTTTGATGTATATACTTGTACACACAGAATACAAACACAGATACATACATCTACTTCTACATCTACATACATAATATTCATATATATATAAATATATTATATATATATTTATATTTATCATTATATAAACAAACACAACAACCCAAACACCCATCCTATCTCTTCCACCTTGCGCTGAGGCTGATCCGCACGGCCATCCGCCAGGGCGAAGCCCAGGCGTTGCCGTTGCTGGAGGCCTCTGGCAGCGGCTCGGCGCAGGCGAAGAAACGACGAAGGAAGGCGCAACAAGAAGCGGCGATGAGTGAGGCCACGGCGTTGTTGGAAATGCGAAATGGGAACAGCTTCCGGTCATAGGAAAACCATAGGAAAATGGTGGTTTAAATGGGATTTAATGGGATATACCCAACCTGGTTATGACATTCACAGTTTGCCATGGGATTTCGATGGCCCTAATTGAAATAGATGGTTTACCTAGCTATAAAATGGGTAGATGTTCCATGCTTCCGTGAAAATTGCAGTGAATACACCTGGTATATAATGGAACTTTATAGCCATATTATATGATATAGCCACTATATATTAGTGTAATCCAATATACACTGGTATATCATTAATTATATCATATCATCCGTTGCGGAATCCAACGGTTCATTGATATTTATTGGTATTTATTGGTAATATATCTCATGAAATCCAATTGAATTACCCAACCTGGTTATGACATTCACAGTTTGCCATGGGATTTCGATGGCCCTAATCGAAATAGATGGTTTTTACCTAGCTGTAAAATGGGTGGATGTTCCATAGCGAACTGTGAATGTCATAACCAGGCCGGGTAGCACTTGTGGATTTCCAGGAACTCATAATGGAGGTTCATAGCTGAGAACATGAACATTTCTTAATGGCTTTCCATTGCTACATTTGATTACCAGAAGGTACCCTCTGGTAAACAGCCACATAACTATGGAAAATCACCATGTTTAATGGGTAAATCCACTATAAATGGCCATTTTCAATAGCTATGTAAAATTACCAGAAGCTATTTCTGTTGGACAATCATCCATAATCATCCCACGAATCCTAATTGGTTAAGAGAGATTGTGTTTTTTTGGTGGATTGAATCCGCTGAAATATCAAAATCCCCGATAATCTGAAATAAATAAACATGCCAAGAAAACAAAGTCGCGCAGGTGGGTAGCCTTGAACCTACCCGGAACCACAATAATGTTCCTTTTTTTCCGTTTTTCAAAAGTAACCGAAGTTTGATGTGGGAAGCTGGGGTGAATATACGTGGTTTTCTAAATCGGCAATACTAAACGGGTCCTAACATGACACTTATGCATTCGTTTCAATTGGGCAGTTTGTTTAGCAATACTCAAACGGTCACAACATGACACTTATGTATTCGTTTTCAAAATGGCAATTAGTTCGGCAATACTTCGATAGCAAAGTGAACTTGTGCATGATGTCATTTTTCAATTGAGCAGTTCAGAGGGGCCCAAAACGACAATTTGATCAGCAAGGCTAAATGTCCGGGGTGTCCAAAAGTATGTTTGGCCCCAACATTCATAGTATTGCCGGGTTGTGTTACTGTCTCAACAAACAATTATGTTAATTGTATTTATCAACTAGATTTGCCCTCAACATTATAAATACCATTTGTTTGGTTGAGGTGTGTTGTTAATCAAATGTTTGTTATCATGGATTTTTATTAACCTAATTTGCAAAGCAAATTGTCATCAATTGGCAAACCAGTGCGAAGCCGTGCCCAAAATCACCATAAATTGGGTGTATAAACAATCCCAAAATATCTCAAAATGATTGGTTTATTTTTAGGTTGACCACATTCACTAAAGTCACTAAAATAATAAACATTATCAACACATATCAATTATGTTATCAACTAATTATTGCAATATGACTCGACCATCTATTGGTTTATTCTCAAAACTTATTGTAATTAGTTGAGTTCATAAACGTTACCAATTGACCTAATTATTGATTGAACTCAAAAGCTTAATTTTGATTGACCTAATTATTGATTGACCTAATTATTCATAATCATAACTGGGATATTACGAATAGGTACCAACAACTAGTGATGTTATAATCCATTAGTAACATTTGATTGGTTGGTTGTTTCAAACATGAATTTGATTTTCCATAATATATGGGATGTCATCCTTCCCATTGACTATCCTATTTTTCAAGATGGGCACATTGCACCACCAACCAGTTAATATTATTCATTAGATCAGGTATTAAGCACATTCATAACCACTCTTAATCACTATTAACCATGGGCACATTGCACCACCAACCAGATGATGTACAGATTATTATTAACCATATAATAAATTAATAACCATATAATAACCAGTTATTGATGTGGATTCTTACCTCTGCGGCCAGGTTCCTTCCGACCTGCTTCAGCAGATCCAGGCGCGGCGACAGCAGCGGGGCTCCTTGCTGGAGCACCTTGAGGAGAAGTACAGCGACCCAAAGAAGCCGCCGACGCCGAAGAAGGGGCAGAAGGGGATGAAGCGCCCTGCGGCAAAGCGGTGAAAATTAAAAAATCGCGGAAAAATGGAGAGAAAATCTAATGGAATTGTAATTTGAAAGGTTTTTGGGTGGTTAAGATGGAAATCAGAGCCAGTAAAACGTGAAAAATGCTGGCTGGAAATTGGAATATGTGAAATTTTGTTGTCTGAGGGAACGGGTAGGAAAAAACAGACTCCCTACGTCGTGCAGGGTTTAGGAGTTTTGTGTGTAAGAGAAAGTAAATTAGGAGCTTCATTGTCCTACATACAAGAAAGCCTTTTTCAAGGAAGTGTCAGTGTTCAGATGAGCAATTTGGGACATCAAAAAACTCTACTGTTTGGATCTGTTTGGCGGAGAGCATGTGCATCCAATGTGCATCCATTACCATTTGGTTATTTAACATAGCCATGGAAAATGGTTGATTTTCCCATTAAAAGCTCCATTTATAAGGGATTTTCCATGGCTATGTTAAATAACCAGATGGTATATCTTCAAGTTTGGGGCCCAAGGGGGGTACACCACTTTTATTTTCCGAGCTTCTGCAGTGTTTTGATCATCACCACGTCGGAGATTGTTTGCTCAATGTCCCAGAGGATATTTGACATAGAAAATCATAGAAACCTCACCACCTGATGGAGGTTCAAAGCCAAATCCAACCTGCCGTTGTGTGATTTGGATTACAAAATCGACATGGAGAACTTCCTCCAACCATATGCTCTAGTCCTGTGAGTTGTGAACTCCTTCGGTGATGTTTTCTCTGGGACTTGGATCGTTACCCATGGGTCGGTAAACGAACTCGCAATTTGTTCGGCTCGATCGTATCCAGTGATTTTCGCCCTGCAGGACAGCTGTTTGCGCTGGATTGGTGGCTGTTGGGCTGAACATGTTTGGCGAAAATCAGCAAAAACATCCTGGTTGATTTGAGAAAATCAGGTTGCCCGTTTAAACAAATGAGAAACTCAGTTTCCTTGGAAAAAAAACATACATGTAGTGATCAGTAGTGGTTGGTTTCCCTACATTGATGGTTGTTGTTTTTTTCGGGGTACCCTCTGGTAATTTGTTACATAGCTATTGAAAATGGCCATAGAAATAGTGGATTTTCCCATTAAAAATGGTGGATCTTTCCAGTTCGCTATGTTAAATTACCAGAGGGTATCTCCCTCTTTTGGAGAAAAAAACCGCTTGACTTCACCAAAGGTAGCCCCCGTCAAGCAGGTTGAAGTACCCGAATATGTGCACTTGGAAAGTGGATCACATATAATAACCATATATAACAAGCATATAATAACATATAATGACCAAATATAACATATACATACATATTTACCCAGCTATATTTGGGTGAATGACCAGTATACCCCTATAGAAGACTGAGTCAACAGACCCGACGGGCGAGGATTTTTCGGCATCACCAGACGTCTCGTGGTGACGTGGCTGCAAGCTGCATGTCATCGGAATCTCTGGACTTTACCTTGACAGTCGCTGATTCACGGGTCACTAAGCATATGAGCTATGGTCAATACTCATGGTTAATAACCATTAATAGGGGCTAGTCATCCAATGGTTCATAGGGATTTATAATAACCATTGTAAGGATCCTTATTATGGATGGGATGACCATCAACCATATAGTGAGGATTGACCATGGCACATATAATCTGGGTAAATTTGATCACGACCTCACTCCGAACCCTGGAAATCATGGTTTATGTTAGGGGAATCATCCCCAAATGGGCCGAACCATTCAGGTTGGTGAATTATTATAATTTATCCAGATATGGGTATGGGTCAAAATTAGGTACCCCAAAATTATGGATGGTTAATACTAAACTAGACTAACATCTGTGGTTCCCTAGGTCTTCCATTTTGACCCACATCCATATAATCTACTGAAATATACTGGATATAATGGGATATGGGGATGGTATGGAGATACAATGAGATTCAATGGGATTTAATGAGAGCTATAAATGTAACCAGCAATGCATAGCAATGCAATGGGAAAATCTGGATGAATTTGATGATGACCTCACGAAAGCGACGTCACTGATGATTTGGATTCGGGGAATCTTCCCCGAGCTTACTGAGGTTGATGATTTATTGCTGGTTGGTGGTTTCAAACATTTGACTAATTTTTCCATAATATATGGGATAATCCTTCCCATTGACTAATATTGTTCAAGATGGTTAAAACCAACAACCAGCTGAGGTTGGTGATTTATTGGAAGTCATCCAGATACTATACATCGAACATGCACAAGTAGACCTTCACAGTTAATCCTGTATTAAACAAAACTTGCACAAATTGAACAATATTTGTTTTTGTGTTGAGGTTGTTGGTTTTTAAATAGTTTCCGCCCTTGTTGATGGTTTCTGGGTTTCGGTCTAACCCATGTGGAATCTCTTCAAACCGAATTGCTAGGATAAACTGTTCTTTCAATTGGCTAACTTAAGATGATTTAAGGGTAAAACACAAACAAACGAAGTACTGTATGGGGGTTCCTAATATCAGGTACCCCCCAAACCATGGGTTTTAAGACTAAAATTGTCTAATTTTATTTTAGATGATTCGAGGTATCCCTATTTGAGGAACCCCCATATATATATATATATATATTAACATCCCCAACATGTTAATCCCTTCCTCCTAATACTAAACGTCCCCCTAATACTAAAAACAGGCATCCATCTCCAATTTCCGAAAATTTCAGTTTGGCCAATTTGACTTTTAATTGATCCCCTTTAAAAAACAATTTAAAAATCAACCTACCATTTGTGGGTTCTCCCCCCTAATACTAAAAACTAGTTCACCCCGGGGTATTTAGTATTAGGGGGGCCTAGTCCCAATCCCTCACTCCAAGCTGCCTAGCTACTCTAGCAATTAGGGGTAAGCTCTAACTGCCATTTTTGGCAATATTTTAATTGCGTTATATAAGGAAATTTAATTGATTTTGAGATCGGAAAAAATAGTTTTTAGTATTAAGGGTTTTAATTTAGTATTAGGGGTAAGCTTCGAACTGCCATTTTTGGCAATATTTTAATTGCGTTATATAAGGAAATTTAATTGATATTGAGATCGGAAAAAATAGTTTTTAGTATTAAGGGTTTTAATTTAGTATTAGGGGTAAGCTTCGAACTGCCATTTTTGGCAATATTTTAATTGCGTTATATAAGGAAATTTAATTGATTTTGAGATCGGAAAAAATAGTTTTTAGTATTAAGGGTTTTAATTTAGTATTAGGGGTAAGCTTCGAACTGCCATTTTTGGCAATATTTTAATATTTTAATTGCGTTATATAAGGAAAATTAATTAATTAACATGACTTCGATTTGGTTCCCTAATAATAAATACCCCCCTAATACTAAAAACTACCTGCCGTGTTTTGTATTAGGGGGGGGGTTTAGTATTAGGAGGAAGGGATTACATATATATATACAGATATACAATTGTGTATATACTGTAGATATATTGTGTGTTTGTTGTATGTTTATGTTGAATCTTTCTTCAAGCCGTTGAAGATCAACGGCTAGCCATCTTAGTAACCTCGATGTCTGGCTATGAGCCGGTGAACGTCAGCGATGGCGAGCCTTTCGACGGTCCGCGGGGTCCTGGGAGTCCTGCGAGTCCTGGATCTGGGCGTCGACATGAACCTAGCATCAAGGTGAAGGTGATGGGAAGCCTTATGTGCTTCTGCTGTGGCTGGGTCATGGTTTCATTTGGGTTGTGGACTGAACATGGAGTAATCATTGTTGAAAATCCCATAGTTGATCATCATTGTTCGCTATAAAATAGCCATAAAATTGCATATATTCTTGCGGTATACCGCATTTCCAGACACATCCACGTTTTACAGTGAGCACCAGTTGAAACCAGGTGTTGATGAGTTATCAAAAAGGAGGTGTTACTGCCTGGTTTATTGGGTACGATCCAAAGATGGAATATATTAGTATGGGTTAGCATTGATTGCAACTTGCAAAAATTATGGAAGACACTAGCCTAACCAGCTGGACAAAATCTGGTTGGTGGTTTCAAACATTTGGATTATGTTCCATAATATGGGATAATCCTTCCCATTGACTTTCATATTTTTCAAGATGGTTAAAACCACCAACCAGAAATATTATTCGCTGGCTATCTATGATTGGCCTCAGTTTGATGGATGTTTTTCAACTGTTGATGGGTGGATGGCCAAACTCCAAAGGGGGTGTTTACATCGTCCGGCGGTGATAGATGGCCTAGATGGCTGTATGGTTTCGTAGACATTCTGAAGTCATCTTTGAAGCACTTCGATCAGTTGTCAAGTAGCAAAATCCTCACGTTGGCCATGCGAAATGGCAATGTAGGGTAAAAGTTGCATAGTAACATTATTACCCAACATTTACTAGAAACATGTACTCTTGTAGCTGGAAAATGGGGAGTCCAATGTGTTTTTGTAGCTGGAAAATTATTTCAGGATGCAGGTTGTCCAAGATTTGCAAGGCCCCAACCTTGTAGGACTTTCGGAAACTGGGGATAAGCCACGGTTTTTGTGTGACAACTCGGATCAGTATAGGGCTAGGAATGGATATTGGAATATGAGCAACAAATAATATGGTTATTACATGTTATTACAACCATCTGAGAACTTCAGTAGTTGTTTGTTTACGATGGGGATTGGGGATAGGTCAAAGTTGCAAGGAACCAACGAACCAGATTTCTATAGGAATGTATAGTCTGAAAGCACTTCGTGGGTTCAGTTGTCTGTCGACAATGGTGATGATGATAGTGATGGGGTATTAGCATGGTTCGATGGGACTATGATCAACAAAATACTGGGTGTAACATGATGTAGCCGTGTAACCAGTAAAGGAGTGGCGTATTGACAACCCCCTTGGGAATTCAGCTTCAATGTTTTGGTTTCAAGGGTGATAGATCAACCAGGTTCATGTTGATGTTCACCTATGTACCAGGGCATTGACAACCAAACGAGGATATTCCAAACTTGTAGGCCCATGCGGGGGACGCAGATTTTGTTCGGTAGCTTTAGGATCCGAAGAATTTGAGTGTTCAATTTGGGAAATGTTCGAGCCATGCATGTGTCCCCCTTTGTTGTTGCTAGACCGCGGAATCATGCATTGGTTCTTCCTGCTTACAGCTCACTTTTTTTATTGTTTACAGTCTTCGTGTTTCTTAAATTTGATCGTAATGTTTTTTGAACCCTGACACGGACAAAGTTTTAATATAGGTTTGGGTCAATAGTGGGTACTCCAAAACATGCATTATCAATACAGAAGATTGCAACCATCGCTGGTCCCCTGGGCTAAAATTTGACCCACAATTTAAGCCAGTTTTTTTTATGTGCCTCCCCAGTTATGAGTTGATTTACAGCCTCTTTTTAACTTGAGGTTTAGCTATGTTAGCCTAGCTATGTTTACAATCAGAAACCCATCGTTTGGGGATTCAGCCAATGCCGCCCCAAAACAACCCCCCAATAACAAGGGCTTACAAAGAGCATATCAATCACCAACAACAACCATATATTTAAAGGTTTATCAAGCATCTACTATTTGCGGGTGCAAAATTTTATTGGAGCGTGTTGGCTGAATACCCATAAAAGATGTTGCCTTCCCATTAAGTATAGATATATCGATCATCATAAACCATCATAAACCCTAATTAGCCTAGTTATAAATAAACTTATCCATCATGAATCACATATGATTGTTGATCTAAAGGTTGATGTAGAGATTGTCCATTTTTTTGAGACCCCGCGAAAGTTTTTTTTCTGAGTTCGCGAAAGTAGTGTTTTCTTTCGCAAAAGATCTAGCGAAAGATGTTATCATGAGACCCCCGCGAAAGATAAACGTGGGGTTCGCGAAAGATGCGCGAAAGTAAAAATTTCATTCGCGAAGAATGGCCGTTTTGCAGATAAAGGAATTTAGATCAACCGCCATATGGGAATTTATAGATATATAACTGTGTGTATATAAGGATTTGTTGTTCGTTAAATCCCTTCCTTCTCCTATTTTTGGGTCCTGATCAACCGAGGTTTGATTTTCTTGTACCTTGGTGCCGAAATCGCGGCTTGGGCTCGCCAAGCGAGCTGTAACTTCGAATTGGGAGACCTGGATGTCACCTGGAACACTGTGATTCCCAGCAAGACCATGACGCAGATGGACGTGGGGATTTTCACCGTTTTGTGGCTCCAGGTGGGGAAATTGGACGTTGGACCTGGGGTGTGTGTTTTTTTTTAGCACCCCTGGTGGGGACACTAACTGATATGGAACATGACGAAACCACTCAAACGCATATTTTGGGATTAGTGTGAATTATACCCGCTATGAGAACATATGAGAACCCAATTACCAAACCAGGCAGTATACGAAGACTATACCAACATCGCATTATGCTGTGTTTGCAATTACCTGTGTTGAAACTCTGTAGATCTCTGTCAATTCAATGTCCATTTTCCATGTCTGAGGCATTGTGTTCCCGCTGTCCCATGCAGGGAGTTTTTTTTTGCGTGTGTTTTGTCGCTGAGATTTAAAACAAAAAAGAAAAGTAATGGGGATACGTCATTCTTGGAAGTATGAATTTCATGTGTAAGTCATTAATATGAGGATGATTTGATCGCGTGTTGGTTCCAGCTGTGTTCAGTGCCAGATCATACCCGGCTTTCAGGTGTTCGATGTTTTTGTTGTTCTTGTTCGTAGCTGACACCTAGCAATCCACTGTTCGGTTTCCTCAGTTTCCTGATGTTTGGACAGGTGGATGTCTATGATGAAAATTCCACGAATGCACCAATGATTGGTTCCTGGTCAAATCTGGATCTCCTCTTTGGGATGGTCGAGTGGCTCGGCATTTTTCAGGGAGGGACTTGGGGAGTTGGGCATCGAACATTGGGAGATGATGGAGATGGTGCCCCCCAGTGATGTGAACGTTGGTTTACAAAGCCCATAAAAACTATAGATATATCTACCATGAGTCCTAGTTATTAGAGTTATAAACCAACTTAGCTATCTAGGGGGTACCACATTGTGGGAGATGTCAACCAAGTCTAGTATAGGCTTGGACTCTTGCGCACGCGCACAGCACGCTTGGGTTTCAGTTGCCAGGGGGATCTTGCTTGGGATACCAGTTGGGAATGAACAGGTTCAGTATGCACTGACCCTGAAATGATTGTATATGATGTTGTCCAGAAATATGCAGATTTTCAATATCCATAATGTATGTTCAAAAAGATAACGATAATCTTCGTCCCTTTCACGCGAGGTTCAGTTTTCCACTTGCAAAGTGCACGGTGAATTCAGAGGGACTTCACAGCCGGCCACGCCCAACGATGATTGATATTCCAGAAACCATCAAACATGGCATTACATTAAACCAGATCTAACTGGATTTGTCATAGGTTCATAAATTTTCCAGATATCCGGAGGAGATCCTTTCGGCACCACGTCATTGACTGGCCATGCCATCGCCATCTCTTCACGTCACAAAAATCGCTGTTGAACCGACCAGGAAATATGCCTATGTTCAAGCGAACGGCCCAACTGTCCTGGAAGCGTGGCAACCTTGGGGCATCTACTTTGGTCAAAGATATCATGACTCTCAGCAGCGGTTGGTCCACAGTATAGGGACACACCAAAGAATGGTGGGAAAAACCGTGTGCGGTCCCCCAAAGTGGGCTTATGAACCAAAAAACATGGGAGATTTGAATTTTCAAGCCCAGAGGGTCAAGGATTCAAGGATCCATATCCTTTTATATACCATTCTCCTACCCAAATATAGCTCAGGAAGGCTTTCAGAAATAAATGTATATTTATATATAACACACATACAGTGTTTTAATGTTTTGTTGTTGGTCACCATGCGTTTTTTATTTCAGCGGGATGTCAGCTAGCCATGGATACTGGAGAAGAGCAGCAGGGATGTTTCATATACTGAATGAGGAGCATCTCGGAGCCCAGTTGCCCCAAGAAAATCAAGTAATTAGTACCAATCAACCGAAGAAGGCAAACCATGTTTGGCACAAATCCACACAAAAAAGTGATATATTATATAATGATAAATGATGTTTCTATTTTTTTGGGGGGATGGTACTATAGATACAGATGTACACTTTCTTTTTGTGGAGTATCCATAGATATCCATTGGGTTTTTCTCCGTTGCATGTTGGGGGGATGCACGTGTTTCAGGTGTGGACGTGCTCCAGCCTCAGACGAGAGAGTCTTGGCTGTTGGACAAACGTTTGGAGGTTTCCAATGGTTTTCAATGGATACCCCCGCAAGTACGGATGCAATAAATCATCCAGACCATCCAATATAGCGACATCCAAGAGTGAAATCTTTTGGGACCAGAAATGGGACACTCTCATTTTTGGCTTCAAAACTGTTTCCTTTCAAGGTGCGCAAGCGAAACGGCCTATAGGTTTTCGGGTTGTTAAGGTATGTGAATGGCGGGTGCATTCCTCCATGGATCAGGGGGATCATCGGCTGATGTCAACATGGATGGTACAAGAAAAAGTGTCTGAGAGTGAAGTAATGACACAACATCAAACAATGATTAGTGGATTCAAAAGTTTGCTTTTTTTCTCCACCATAGTTCGGATGATGATCCACAACGGTGAGCATAGTTGTTTCAGGAATTTCAGGCGGGCTTAAGGCTGGAGATACATTAGGTATTCCAGCCTTTTCTGGACACACTAAAATCCATCATCCATAGGTCTTACCATCTCTGCCCTATCGATGGTTAAATCCTAAAAATGGTTAGGTTAGTCCCCCAATTCGGGGAGCCAGAGATAATGATGTGGGGGTTTCCATAGTCATGGGGGGTACCCCTTTATCGCTGGATGGTGAATATTTCATGGAAAATACCATCTATAAATGGATGAGAACTGGGCGGTACCCCTATCGCAGGAAGCCCCCATGTGGATCTTTGTCAGAAGTCAGCAGCAAGGTATTATATTGAGGAAGACTGGTGGGCCCGACCCTGGTTTAGCTTCAACTCGCAGCAGATCTTTAACATTCGATCCTTGGACCCAGAGATTGGCTGGAGAAAAATATATCTCCCACAAGTTGTGGGAATTCTTTGGGAGGTTCATGGGCTAATATGTCAATCTGTTTCGGAATAGTTACCATCTGGTTATTTAACATAGCCATGGAAAATGGCCCATTTATAGATGGTTTACATAGTATAAATGGTGATTTTCCATGGCTATGTTAAATAACCAGAGGGTATATGTTGATTTTAAGAATGGTCAACTTTCTTAGTCTCATGCAGCATCCGTTTGGATTTTCATGGTCAAGGGATCCAAAAACTCCGAACTTCGCCCCACACAAATGTTGCAGAAAGTTTAACGATTCAAAACTCACACCTTTTTTTAGCACATGTTTTTCCCGGAAATGATTGTCTACCGTTCTTTCTTAGACTTAGACGGGATTTGCGTCTCATGATTGAGTTTGCAAGGGTTTCCACCCTTTCCACTTAGATGTCAACAACTGGGACACTGTTACTCAGGCAGTGGGGCAGTTATTGTCGTTCAACCCCAGTTCATTTGCATTCAAAAGGTTTTTGGGTTTGAGAGCCGGTCCAGCTTGGGTCATCTCTACACTTTATACATCTTCATACACTTTACACGAGCTAAAGAAGAATGATGTTTTTACATGACGTCATGTTTGGGAAACCATTACAACTGGCCTTAAATAAGGTTTGAGAAGTATACGAAGCAAGCCAACCATCAATAGCCTGGCCATCATGGTACTTGCCCAAAGATACATGTATCACATTTTACCATTCATCCATGTATCACAAACATATCCAACCACGATGTCTTAGGAAGGCCCAGGCTATGCCTTTGTAACTTGGACGGATCATTGCCCACCTATTTCACCAAGCAAAAATTACTTGTGTACATGTTTTGCGGAGTATATCCGATATTAATATTTGCATGTTTGTTGTTGATGCCCTATATGCCAGACATGGTTGAATGGCAAGTTCACGGTTGAAACCTCTAGATTTCCCTTCAACCAATCCTATTATAATTATAATACTATATTTTATGGGTTTGTCTGAAAATGGGATATGCCTAAAATCCATGGTTTATCATCCTTTTCCCTGCGATTTTGGAGGCATAACATGGTATACACCATTTTCAGGAACACATAAAAAAAATATCAGGTAATATATCCCATTCTATTGCAATAAAATCCAAGTATATCCCCATTTCGATGCTTTGAACCGGTGGTAGTGGTTGCTCCAATCCATTCTAGGTAAACATAGATACCCAGTATAATTATTAACTATAATCAGATTTTAAAATGTAGATACCCATTGGTGGATACATTATAAATAATAATGTGGTTACAACAATGCCATAGACCACCCATGACTGGGAATGGTAAGTTTATAGCACCTATAAAGTTATGGTGATTTGGGGGGATGGTAAACATGGCATTGTTTTACCCACAGTCATTTTACCTAATAGATAATATATTGATTAAATCAATATATAGATACTAGATTACATTATAGAGATTGATATAGAGATTACACTATTGATATATATACCTAGGGTATATATATATATAGATACTAGATTACATTATATATATAGAGATACCTTTTTATGGGTATATATAGATACTAGATTACATTATATATATAGATACCATTAAATGGGAAAATCCACTATTAATGGTCATTTTCAATAGCTATATATATATATATAATCCATTGTAAATAACTGCATTTTACCTTTTTACCTACCCAGTTTTACCCAAACAGTCTCTGCTCTAGGCGAGATGCCCAGCGGTCGGCTCGTGGCCAAGTCCCAGCATAGGAAGAATGATGCGTGGTCCTGGAACGCGCAACTTGGCAACTTTATGTGGAGATGGGTCAAAACCATGTAGCCCTGGTGAACATCAAAATAGCTGGTAAATGGATGTTCATCCCACTAAAAATGTATCTATAGGTATTGATCCATACCTATGTAACCAATGGGGATTTAACCCACAAAAATTGGAATTTAAGCAACTATCACAGGGATTTAAGCAACATATCATGGGGATGTTACCGACATTCATGGTTATATAAACTAAAATGGTGATTTAATCAACATTCACGGGGATTGAAGCAACATTAATCGGGATGTGGATTTTACCAACATTCGCGGGGATTGAAGCAACTTGAATGGGCATTTAACCAACATTCATGGGGACACAAGCAATATTAATGGGCATGGGGACTCAACCAACTTAAAATTGCTATATGTTGTAGAATATACCATCCGGCGAACTAACATAGCTATTGGAAATGGCCATTTATAGTGGATTTACCCATTAAACATGGTGATTTTCCATAGTTATGTTAGTTTACCAGAGGGTATACGGAATATATAACCAACAAATGATGGGCTTTTGGAGGGAACTAATCCAATTCCACTTATAATTTGACCTAGTTTGACCTAGCTGGTTTTCACCAGGAGTTCTGGGGGGTGATGATTTTTGAACGGGGGAAGGGATCAATGGGTGGGACGTGATGGGATATAGAACTAACTCGATATGATATTTGGGCATATATTATATATTGTATATATATATACAGACAAACTACAACACATGTATACATATTTATATATATAGAAGAAAATTTACTACTCCAAAGCCAGCAGTTGACACAAGTATAAACCAACTTAAAGCGAAGTACTTGGCGCAGTAGAGATGATGGAAATATATGGGTATAACCTTGGGCTAAACCCCATAAGTTGGGATATAGCCCCAGTAACTGTGGTCAGATTAAACCATTTTAAGTCGGAGGGAACGGTAATCAGCTATAGCAGCTATTTTTTATATCCATATGTCCAATTCTTCCCTATTTTTCATGGGGAACGATGGAGCTACCAACCGCATGACAGTCATTATTTACCCGGCCTGGTAAACATACAAAAAGCTATTGAAAATGGCCATTGAAATAGTGGATTTACCCATCAAAAATGGTGGATCTTTCCATAGTTACGTTAGTTTACCAGAGGGTACTTACCTTTAATCACTATTAATCACCATTAATCACTATTAATCACTATGGCGAAACTGTTTTTTGGTGATTTGAACATCTATAAGAACCAGTGATAACCTTTTTTTGCTCCGGTGGTTGAACAATGTCAAAAAAAAGTTCCCCGCGTTCGCCCCTGGTTCGCCCACACGAAAAAACAACACATCCAAACAATATGATATACTTATCACCAGAGGATGAATGAAAACACTGGCTATACGCAGTGATTTTGACTTTTAAGTTTTCAGGATTTAGGGTTTTAATTTAGGGTTTAGGGTTTTAGGTTTCAGGGTTTTAGGTTTTAGGGTTTTGGTGTTTGTTGTTTTGAAAAGCAAACAACTTAAACCCTGCACAGGGATTTGAGCATGTCAAAAGATATGCGGGATTTGCCGCGGGCAAACCTAGGGGTTGCAGCGAACATGTTTTACTGTAAGCACTAGATGAATTCTGATTTCCATAGGTGGATGAAAAGGAACAGCTCTAGGAAGTCCCTCGCTGGAAAACAGCTCCAGGGCTTTCAACTGCGAAACGACTCTTAAACAGATCGTTTTGAAGAATGGTTTTTTTCGCATCAAAATATGGTTAATTCACTATTAGCCATTAATAACCTCCATTAACCACCATTAACCACCATCAACCACCAGAATAGACCAACCTTACATAGAATGACGGCGAGAATTGAATTCTGCAAGGTGTTCGAAACAACCACAATTACTCTCCAAGACAGTGGATTTCTTTACAGCAAAAACGAAGATTTGGAGCAATGATGGGGATTGAGGCAACACCATCAATTGATGGTCACTGTTTTGGATGGTGAATTCAGCAAAAAAACATATCCAAACATGAGAATTGAAGGAAGAACAATGAGGACATCAGAAGAATCCATCGACTTTTTTTGTGTACATTTCATTGATTGTTTGTCATCAACATATTGACCTCTTTCCCCGAATATCATCGTATATGATCTACTTTTACACACACACACACCAGAAACACTCGTTTAGTATTGGATAGTAATATTCATGGATTGGGATCTGAGGCATTGGGGGTATAGTATTTAGACGGATTTATTACGATCTGGGGAAGGAATTATATCTATTCCCAGTTGCAACATTGCAATTGTTGCGCCTGACTTATAAGTTGGTTTTATAACCAGAATGCACTTTATAGATTCTAATATCTAGCACAATTCCACATAGCCAACTCAGACTGGGCTTTGGTTTGTAGATATATCACAAGTGAATTCTCGTTATAAACTCAAATATATCCTTGCACTGACATGTTATATCATGTCATTAGATATAAAGTGAATCTGGTTGGTGGTTTGGAACATGAATTTTATTGTTCCATTGAGTTGAGAATTTCATAATCCCAACTGACTTTCACTAACTCCATCATTTTTCAGAGGGGGTGGTATACCACCAACCAGATATATTCATTAGATGAGGTATTAATCACCAATAACCCTTTATTAATCACTATTAACCATTAATCACCAATAAGTAGATAGCCATTGCACTGTTGCTGCCATCCCCCGGGCTTCCGCAGGCATTGGACCGCCACAGTTGAAAGCCTTGCCGGCGAGGCGATTGCCACCTTGAGGTGCTGGTCGCGACAGGGGTTCGGGTTCTGATTTTTGACGTGGAAAAATGTGGATGGGTCAATACCTATAGATACATTTTAGTGGGATGAACATCCATTTACCAGCTATTTTGGGGTTCACTGGGTACCAGGGTTTTGACCCATCCCCAAATGTGGATTTGATCTTGGGGGATTGTTCATGAATATAACATAATATAACTCCCTATGGATCCAAGTACCATCTTAGGAAGTGTAAAAGGGGCAATATTTAGGGGGTTAAGATGGGTTCAGTACCTTCTCAGACAGTGTTTGGATCCGTAGGGACTAATATAACCAAGGTAAGAATCCCATATATATGATATATATATATAATATAATAATATATATATATGATAATATATATATATATGCATATATATTGTGTGGTTGAACCCTATAACTATAGCTCTAAAGTCGCACTTCTACTTGGAACTGCAACCCTAGAACAGCACTTAGATGGGGAATTTCACCAGTGAAAAATTAGTACTTACATGTACTTACGTAATTGCTAGGTCAATCTTACATGAATACTTTAATCCTTTAGTCTTTTGGTATTAATGGGAATATCTACTAACCAGCAAAGAATTTAATTTTTTTTGCAGGGTATCTAAGATTGGCAATGATTGATTTAGTCAACACACATGTGGATTTTGATAAACACTTGGAATTAATCATGAGTTTTTTAAATGAGGTGCTAGTCTGTTGAACAAACGATCAACGGATTTTCACCTGAAACAACGGGAAAAAGAGGCAGCAAAGCAAAAATACACTCGGCAAAATTGACCAGAAAAAGATGGGACATATTCACCTAGCAAACTGGAGATCAGACATATATACAACTGGGAATTGATATCAATAGACATGAAAGTTTCACCAGCAATAGACATGAAAGTTTCACCAGCAAACAACCATGGGGTGTCGAAATGTTTCGAAACTGAGATATTAAGTAGCAAGACTGGAACTGAAGCTGACATTGAATGGGGATATCTCGTGGAAACACACATAGAAACATCGAACCAATGTTTGTGTACAGAATTGTAGCTTTGAGAAGCAAGGTTTCTGTACCCCAGTTGAAATTGGAATGGAGTGGAAATCCATCACTTTCCAAACATTTTGTTCGTGAAGGGTTCATCAATCCCACTGACCCATCCCAGTTGTTTGACGTAGGTTGACTGAAGCTAGAGATCTAGGTGAATTCTGACGACCTCCAAACAGCCAATGGAATCACAATATCAAACACTTCAGTCGACGAGCCAATCCACAATGAGATTTGTCCAAAATTCGTGCATTTTGGTCAATATCCCCAGTGGGTCTATATTCACCGGTAAACGTGGCAACTGGAAAGTCCCGTATTCAGGTATACAAGGCAAATGATCTAAAAAGGATGCGATAATTCTCTTGAGCACATGGTGTACAATACATGTTACCCTCTGGTAATTTAACATAGCTATAGAAAATCACCATGTTCAATGGGTAAATCCACTAGAAATCGACTGGGCCATTTTCAATAGCAAACTGTTAGTCATTACCAGGCCGGGTAACTGTTTGGCTGGTTAGCAAACAGCCGTCCCCCGAGAGGCAAGAGGCGAGCAACCCTCTGTGGTTCTTTGGCAACTTTCAGAAGTGGTGGGTCGACAATGAGAGACCTGACTTACTGCCCAATGAGGTGGGCGGAAGGGAACAAGGATGGGTAATGTAGGGAAAAACATCTTGAGTTTTTGCGGAATCGGAAGATTGTCTGGAAATGGAAAGAGAAGGAGAACTTGGAGACTTTTAAGATGCGTGTTTGTTTGTGGATTTGTAGAGGCAAACTGTTTGAACCAACCCGACCCCAAGGTGACCCCTCCCCAAAAAATGGGTTTGTGTTTTGGGTTCATTGACCACCAACAACCACTAATAGCTGGACTTATTTACCAGCTATCATTAGGGCTTCCCGAATCGGGAGGGTGAAATTCCCATGGCGGGTCCGGATCATGTTATGATGTTACATGGGTTTGTCTGAAACTAAGGTACCCGTAATCCCATGTGTTGATCAGGCAAAGGTTCAACCCAATCAGTCTCACCGCCAAACGAAGTGCGGCAAAGCTTCGAAGCGCACACGGCCTTTTTGGGCCGCACCACGAGCCATTCGGCATGGTCTCATGAGAAGTCCCTCCCTTAAGCCATTGAAAAGGGCAGGAGGCAAAGAATCAACATGTTCCATGCTAATTGTGTGACACGCAATTCACACAGGTGAAAAAGGGAGATGAAAGCTTTAAAATTCACCTCTAGATCGTGCATCGGCAAGGTCGCCAATTCGAAGTCCTCCAGGAGGCATCGTAGCTCGAGCATCGCCACGAAAGTCGCAGTGAGGCAAAGCGAAGTCTCTGCTGCAAAGCCGGCATGCAGTGCACTTGTAGATGACCTGGTTGCCATCGGTCCTCTGGTACACACAGTCCAAGTTTGCATGCCATATGGAGCTATGGGGCAGCAGGTAGATCTCGTGATCTTCCAAGTTGCGCTGGAAGTCCACGCGATGAACTTCCCACTTCGCCTTCCACTTGCGGGCCTCATCTCTGGCATCGATCAGCATGTTCTGCTTCTTCATCAATTCAGCTTCCAGTCCACGTCGATGCTCTCGTAGAACCATGACCTCTTCGTACATCTTTCGAAGGGTCTCGGTGTCTTCCGGTGTCATAACGGTCTGTATCACCGTTCCACCAGGCACAGGTTCTGCTTGAGGTTCAGGAGGATCACGTCGGCAAATCCAACGTCGTAGCAGCCAGCAGCCGAAGATCATCAGCATGATCGTGGTCAGGAACACGGCAGGGTTGTAGACAAAGTCCACGGTGTAGAGCTCGGCCAGGTGCTTCAGGTAGTTCATGGGCATCGCGAAGTCGAAGTTGGTCATGTCATACTCAGTCACATTGGGCATCACAAAGTCGCGGTTGGTCTTGATGTCATTCTCCATGGTGTTGGGCATCTCATTTTCGAGGTTGGTATTCTTGAAGTCAATCTCTGCAGCATTGAGCACGCTGACGACGTTCAGGAGTCCTGCAAACATAGCTTGCATAGCTCTGGCAGGTTTCTTCACTGCAAACATCTCAGCATTCTTCTTTCTCTCACCAGCAGTTTTGCGTTTGGCAGCTTGAAAGGTCAGGTCTGACTTCAGCTTGGTACGGTGGCTTCTCAAACGGTCTGCAAGAAGTTGGGCAGCGGCTTCTTTGGTCAGGCCGTCCGCATACTGCAGCTCGGAACTCACCCACGAAGTTCGGGCACCGCAGCACTTCAGCTTGTCCTGCGTGACAAGGACCTCTATGGTTGTCCGTTTGTCGGACCCAGTTCCAGCTTGTACTTCTTCTTTGATCAGCAGGTCATACAAAGCTTTTGCGTCTACCACTAGTTTCGGAGAGCCAGACAACTTTGCAGTTGCAACATCGTCCAAAGGCAGCCATGGGGACCAAACTAGGTTCCAAAACGTTGAGGCAAACAAAAGGGCATCTGCAGCTTCTGATGCTCCTTGGCTTTCAGCGCTCAAAGTTGAACGGGCTACCCGTGCAAGTTTCCAACTGCGCCAGTCAAGGACGTTATACCATCCTTCTTCACCTTCTGCTACCTTGTTGTTCACAATCACCAGCAAGTAGCCGCCTTGGCTGCTCAGGTCATGTCGGCAGGCAAAGGAGGCATCGCTGTAGGCGATCATGGTCAGGTCATTCTTTTCGCCAAGGTAGCGGTACTCCAAACCAACGTCCGCATTTGTTTTCGCCATCCTCAGGGCTTTGTTGGCATTCTGCAGGGTCTTGATGGTTGCTCGGGTTACATCCCCAGCCAGCATTGAAACTTGGGCTTGTAGGTGTGGTGAAGATTGAGTTGCAGGCCATTGCAAGGCGCCAATCAAACCACGAAGTTGGGTTCTTTCGCTTTCGGTCACCGGCAAGGACTCGTTGTTCTTGCGGTCTTTGGCAATCGCAATGGGCTTTTGCTTGTGGATGTACTTCTCCTGATGGAGATGCCAATGGTTCTCGGCCTTCTTGTCAATCTGACATCCACAGTACTCAAGGTGGTCACCGCTCAGCCATTCACGAAAGCTGAAAACTTCCTTCAAGGATTGTTGCAGGCGCTCAGCATGTTTGTTGTTGGGCTTGAGGCATCCAAACAAATCATCAACGTGGATACCAAACATTCCAATCAGCTCAGGCTCGATTCCATGGGCATGAGCTTGATGAGGATCTTGGTCATAGGCCAGGAAAAGACAGGCATCCAGAGGATGTTGAATGATGGTGCCTTTGCCAGTGCGCAAAATGCGCTCTGTCGCCTCTTCATACCATGCTCTTGGAGCGTCACACAAACCATAGATGGGCTTGATCAACTTCATCAGTTGGCCGCTTTCGCGCTCAATTCCAAGGATCTGCTCAGCATCCCTTGGCAGGCGCACCCATATCTCACGCGAGCCATCAGTTTTGAAATCTTTCCCTTGCAGAAACGCTGTACTCACATCACTTGTAAAAGGTTCCATACCCAACATTGTGGCCACTGTCATGATCACACCTCTCGCAAGCCTTGTGAGCGTCGGACTTGTAGTGGAGAGAGATCCGCTCAAGGCATCAGGGTCTTTAAACCCTTGGACCACCAGCCGGGCTTTTGCTCTTGGAGAGCCATCAGGATTCTTTTTCCAACCCAAGATGAACTTGCCTTTGAGGACTCGGTCTGCAGGAACGTTCTTGCCATTGTCAAACTGCCAGACAGAGTTGTCAAAGAACGACTGCAGCTCTTTCATCTTGGCCTCTCGGAAAGTCATCCGATCTTCCAAACTCATGTAGCGCTCATTCAAGGGCTGGTTGCTAGGCTCTTGGGCGTAGCATTCTTCCAAGTTCTTGTTGAACAGCTCTTTGGCCTGTTTTCGCCAGGCAGGCAAAACCTTGAAGCGTGTGTAGCCAGTCCACATGTTGGTGGCATACTTGGGCTTCAAATTGCCTGATTTCCACTTCTCGCGGTAGAGGTAGCTTCCCATGCTCACCACCTTCTTCTTGTCCAGAAAGTGCAGTGGAATTGGGCAGTTCTTCTCGTCAGGCACAAAGTCGCTCTGTCTGGGGGCGTAGTGTCGCCTGGTGAGGTAGTTGCCAGCAAGCTCCCAGGAGTCCATCACGTTGTCCTCCAAGACCATGTAGCCATTTGCAATCTTCCATCCACGAGGCAGCTTGGTCTTGTTGTGAATGTCCACGTCAAAGGAGTGCTGGGCATCTTCTGCATCTTGAAGACCTCGTTGTGAATATGGTGTAGTTCTCGGCAAGGCTGGAGTTGCTGCAGGACCATAGGATCTTGGCAGCACCATAGTTTCTTGCCGTTCATGTCGTCGTCGTTGTTGTTCAAACGTAGAAAGGCCAGGAGGTTGTTGTGCAGGTTGAGCAGGTAGTGGATGTCCAGGTTGTTCTGCGTGTTGAGGTAGGGCAGGTTGTACAGGTAGTTCAGGAGGTAGAGCTCGAGGTGAAAGTTGTTGGCCAAGTGGTTCTTCCATAGGTTCCACAACGCTACCAGCAGGAGTCGGCAGGATTGGAACTTGTTCATATTGGTCATCATCCATCGGTGAAATCTGTTGCATTGACATTGACGCGGCAGCGCCACCTCCTCCATCTCCAGAAAGGTCGTTGTCATCGGCGATGCTCGGGCTTGGAGAAACCGAAGGTGGGCCACGAAAAGGGGCTGTAGGATCATCTCCATCATCTTGTCCATGTCCACCGCCACCAGTAGGTCCGCCATGAGGTTCACCATCTCGGAAAAGGTCACGTAGTTCACCATCAGAGTCGCTCGTCCGCAAGCCAGGGTCGACGATGAACGTAGTGATGCCAGTCCACTTGTAGTGAAGAACTCGTTCAGCATCAGGACCTCTCCACTCATCGCGGATGATCAGCGTCTCAGGTTCAGGTCCACCACGTCGCACCGTTGTGATGCGCTCCTCCTTAAAAAGGTGAATGGGGACCTCATCAAACAGGGCATCTGGAGTGAAAAGTTGTTGCCTTGGTATGTTGTGAATCCTTGTCCAAGTCCGGCCATCATTGCTGGCCTGCCATCTGTCTTCTTGAGGTTCAGCTGGGAAGTCCGCAAGCTCATTGTCAAGCTCTTCAGCTTCATCTTCTGTTGCAACTTCTTCTCGTTTGCGCTTGTTGGACTTCGGCAGGTCAACGTAGTGTGTCACACCACGGTTGCGAATCCCCAAGAGAGCAAGTTGGGCTCGGTCAAGGGAATCCATGAAGCGGGGCTCATCTGACTCAGGGTGTGTGGCTGGTCTGACATGCTCAGGGGCAGCACGAAGCAAAGTGGTGCCATGCGCCAACCAGTAGATATCTCCATGTGGTCCAGCTTCAGAGGTTTCTTTCATCACAACAATGGCAGGTCCACGCCATCGCAACTTGGGTCCATTTGCAGGGCCATCGCGCCAGTAGTAGCATCTGTCACCAGTGCTCAAAACCACTGGTTGTCCCACAAACTTTCGAAGAAGGGCTCGACGAAGTCGTGCGTCGATGTTGGCCTCATTCAGTGCCTTTGCAGCTGAAGCCTGAAGTTCCAACTTCTCACGAAAAGCTTCTGTTGGATCCAAGTGTGCAGGTGAAATCTGCTCTTCCATCAGCAAACCATGTATGTGTGGGGTGTATCCCATCGCCCATTGAACTGGTGAGTAACCTGAAACATTTGGCATCCTATTGACTTGAGGTATCACGTAGCACAAAGCAGTGATGACAGCCTCTTGGGTCGCAGCAATGGCAGGGTTGTCGGTGAGGAACGTGGTCAAAGCACGTCGAACCACCTGATGTCTCCTCTCCAAAATTGCCAGTCTTGTGTGACTTTCACCAGGGCTGATCTTCAAGTCAACGCCATTCTCGGTGCACCAAAGTCTGATTGCATCTGAGCACCATGCTCTGTGCTCGTCCACAAACAACTTCTTCATAGGGCCAAAGCTTCTCACCCAGCCACGCTCGAGCTGCTTGATGAACTCTTCAGAGGATTCAGCACGAAGTTCACGTCCAGCAACCAAACGTGTTGTAGCATCACTCATCACCAAGACTGGAGTGGCCTTCTTGCGTCCAGGCACATGAACCCAAAGAGTGTCAGCTCGAACTCGATCATTGAACTGCGTAGCTCTGGGCACTGAAGAAACTGGATGGCCAATGGGCCGTTTGTGCAGGTCACAAGTGGTGCATTTGTGGGTCTTGGCACCTTCGATCATCTCAGGGCTTGCACCCTTCTGCTCCAGCAACTTCATAAGTTCACCGCTGGTAGGGTGTCCAAGGTTCCTGTGAAGACGCGTGATGGTGCGCTTCACATCTTGGGCAGCAATTCCACGTAGGCGTCCAAGAACTCCATGTTGTGGTGGTGGTCGATCATCACCGTCAGGTGAGACCGAGGAGTCATGCGCAGGTTGTTCTTCTTCTCCATGTTCATGCTGGGAACTTTCCACTTGAAAGTCCTCCTCGTTCTCTTCCTGCATGTCATCATCTTCATTGACATAGGCCTCGTCAGTGGCTTCATCTTCATACAATCGGCTCACTGCCTGAAAGATGGCATCACATAGGCCTTGTTGGTATGATCCCGAAGCTCGGGCTCGATTGCCAATCTTTGGACTGGAACCCTCAATGGGCAGGTGCTCATGATTTCCTTGGCAAAGGACTGACATCTCTTGGGCAGGCTGGTAGGCAGACCATCGCAGTCGTGTCGGCTTCTTGATCAGTTGCCAAACGCCTTGATGATCAGGAAGACGGGTGTTGAACTCACACAGATCCAGCAGGCTCTCATGGCCATCTGCCTCAAAAGATTTCATCGTTCTTGTTTTCCAGGAAAGTGCATAGCGAGGATGCTCCAGGCCAGCGTGTCGTCCTTCTCGTTTCTGTTTCATGAAGCTCTTCTTGCACATGGTCAGGTGGGTGGCTTCCAAAAAGTCACGCTCAGCTTCAAGGGCCTCGATCTGCTCCAAGGTGTGCAAGTTGAGGTTTTGAAGCGTTGACCACTTCTTGCAAGGAGGGGCATACCAAATGAAATCAGGGCATTCTGCATCTTGTAGTTCCAGAAATGCACGGCGTGTTGCCGCAACTTCAAAATCCCATCCATTGGCAATGTCAAAAGTTCTGACAGTCCATCCATTCTCTGCAAAAGTCTGGGCAAGCAAGGCGTCGCCACTGTAGACCTCCCAAAACGTTCGGCGGCCAGTTGTGTGGGCATTCAAAACTTCTTCCAAAGTTCGCCTTCTTTTGTTGCCCCAGGCATTGAAGTGCATGTACATGGACTTCAGCAACTTGTTGGTGATCTCGCGTCGAATGTCCTTGGGCTCAGTCAGCTCTGGGACCACGGCTTCTTCTGCATTGAAAGCCGATGTTCCAACATAGTTGAGGTAAAAGGCTTTCTCTGGAGCTTGTCGTCCAGTTGCGGTCAAATAGTCCAGCAGGGTGACATAGCTTGAAGTCTCCTGGTTGTTCTGCAGGTAGTTGAAGGTCTCGTCAGTGATGTAGTCGAAGAAAACTCCGGCTTCACCATCAGGATCTTCAGCAGCGCCATCGTCAAGTTGTAGTAGATATTCACCGCGCTCGCCAACCACTGCAGGTTGCCAATCATGGCTCAGGACAGAAATCTTGTTGGCGGCGAAGTCAGTCTTCACTTGCAAAGCTGATAAAATTGGGCGACCAATGAGCAGGGGAGTGTCCCCTTCAACCACAAATAAAGCATTCCACATAGCCATGTTGCTTGTGCACATAGACAGGCAAACGAACTGACCATTGTGCTTCACGGCGGGCATCACCTCCAAAAGCAAAGACCTTGTCCGTGGGGTGGAACAAGAATCTGGAGGTTTTCACTCCACGCTCACCCATGTGGTCAATCACCTTCATCAAAGTGTTGTGCCCAATCACCATACTTGATGCTCCACCATCTTGAATCCCAAACCAACCTTTCGAGCTCAAATGAGGAATGCCTTCATCTGCATGCATGGCCGTGTCGGTCACCATCATCGCATCGGCTGTCTTTGTCCTCTTTGAGGGAGAGCCGGAAGATGCTCCTTTCGAGGCTGGTGATCCGCTTGGGCATTGAGCTGCAAGGTGTCCAGCTTTTCCACAGATGAAACAGTTGGCAGATCCCCCAAAGTAGGCTGTAGCACTTGAGGCAGGTGAGCCCTTTCGAGGTGGATTGGAACTTTTTCCTCTGCCCTTGAACTTGACCCTTTTGATTTTCCTTGTCCTCTTGACTTCATCTTGCCTTCGCCATGACCAGGAGAAACTGGTTGTTGTTGTCCAGAACTGCTCGGTGATGCATCCGGCGCCAAGGCAACCACAGGATAGTATCCACGAGCTGCACGAAGGTTTGCAAATTGACGTCGAGCGTCAAGGTAGGCAGCATAGGCTTCCTCCATGGCACCGTCAAAGTCACCAGGGTTTTCATCGTTCTGGTAGTAGCCATCCTCAGTCTCCTCAGCAGTTTGTCCATCCCATGAGGCATCATAGTCGCCTTCAGCAGCGTCCTCATAGTAGGCCTCCTCCGCGTCTTCATACTCATTGGCATAGTCCTCCTCAAAGGCGTCCATGTCATCAAGCTCGTAGGTCTCCTCAGCGTTGTAGGCTTGATGTCGTCGAGGCCAACGTTGATGAAGTTTCGCAGGAGTGGCATTTGCTCCCCATCGCACATCGCTTCTGCCTTTATAGTCTTGGCCAAACAAGTAGTACAAGGATTCTTCCACCTTGTTCTCTTCCAGGCTGGTGCAATGAGTTTGAACCATCTGTCGCTGCTCGTAGGTCAGGCTTGATCTTCGTAGAAGGAGCCATCCACTGATGCTATCTGGGATAGCTATCTTGTGCTTCTCCAGTTCTCGGCGAGCTTCTCGATGATCAGCACAGTATTGCAGTAGGCTTTGGTCACCACGGCGAGTAGATCCATAGAAGAACTTCTCCAGGGCTCGTGGCATCTCAACTCGATCATCATATTTGAAGCATCGGTCCAGCTGGGCTAGAACTTGCTCGAAGCCATCGGTCTCGTCAGCCACCTTGTCCACAAGATGCTCAACCTGTCGCCAGGAAACGCCTGTCAGCGACGTGAGCAAATTCAAGGTAGCTTCTTTCGGCTTCTTCTGGAGATCCAGCTTCTTCTTGTACAAGCAGATTCTCTGACGCCATTCTTTGTAGTCTTGGGGGCGATTCGAGAACACTGGTATGTACGAATCCTTTGTTGCGTCCCCCGCAGGCGCTACAGATCCAGCAGCTTGGGATGACATAGGTCTCGGCAAGAATGGTGTTGGTGTCCAGGCTGTAGGTCCCAAAGTCCCAGGCAACGGAGCAATAGCTCCGCTACCAATGTTGATCAGGCAAAGGTTCAACCCAATCAGTCTCACCGCCAAACGAAGTGCGGCAAAGCTTCGAAGCGCACACGGCCTTTTTGGGCCGCACCACGAGCCATTCGGCATGGTCTCATGAGAAGTCCCTCCCTTAAGCCATTGAAAAGGGCAGGAGGCAAAGAATCAACATGTTCCATGCTAATTGTGTGACACGCAATTCACACCATGGTTTATCATGGTGGGCCCCGGAATTTTTGAGGTGGCCACTGTAAATCATGCTACAAACGACCCCACTGCACCGGAAGAGTGCTTGAATTGGACATCTCGGGCATCACCCAGTACCAGGAATTGGTTATTATCAAAAGGGCATCCTTTCTCTATCATCTCTATCACTGATCCATTTTGGGGATCCCCCAGTTGGAGACAAGCTCATTTGGTTTGCGACCAAAAAAAATGTGCAGCCAAAGTTCCAGCAAATGAATCCTCTTGCGTCCAATGAGGCTTCACACGTGTGTAGATGCATTGGGTTTCGAAAAATGAATCGAATACAGCAGTTGAGCATATTTATCTTTTTGTCTTAATATTAAACACCCCTCAGAAACCATGGTTGGTAAGGGATTTAGCGATATTTGGGATCATTTATTGGGGGGATGGAATTAGGGAAAACGGCACAATCGCGGGTCCTAAAGCTCTTCTGTCTTACCACCAAAGCCATGTTGTCAGTGGTGCAACATCTTCGCCATGCTTGGCGCAGGTAGTTTCTTTCCTTGCGGCTGTCTATGACATAGACAAAGCAAAAGAAAATAAGAGAAAGAGCAAGAGGTGACGTGGGTACTTCGAGGATCTTCGAGGACTATTTCAAAATAGCAATGAGCAACTGTGTTATTTTTTTAGGATATATATTTTTTTGATATTGATATATTGGATATGTTCAAGGATATTTATGATATGTATGATTATTTTTTGATATTTCTGTATTGCTTCATCCCCCCTCATTAGTTTTCTTTGACCACAGTTGCAGCATCATCGGAAAAAGCGATCAGCCCTGGATCGATCTGATAATCTGTCCTGTAGCTGGAGATTCCCAACTCACTCATTGTCTTTCATAATCATTGTCTTAAAACCAATTACCCGGCCTGGTAAACATACAGAAAGCTATTGAAAATGGCCCAGTCGAAATAGTGGATTTTCCCATTGAACATGGTGATTTTCCATAGTTATGTTAGTTTACCAGAGGGTACAGTAGTATTACTCCCATATGTCATTTAAGGGTCAACCATACTGTGGATGAGAATGTGATTCAGGACGTTGGTTTTAAAGTTTTACACCTCGGAAGATTCGGAAGATTCGGCCAGAAAATGGGGATGATTGTGAATGAGTTCAACATCAATCATAGAATTGGATGATGGGAAAATGTACCATATCAAGCCCTATATTTGATGATAAAAACCATGGTTTCCGGTTCCGAATTTCCCTTAAACCAATCCAATGAATCAATTCTTTGTAAAGGCTAAATTCTTCCAGTATGTTGGGTGATCCTTGACCCATGTCACGAAATGTTATGCTGCAGCTTTGTACCTATAGCCTATAGGCGATTTGCCGTGCCCCAAACGAAGGGCTGTTTGAAGCAATCACCCCTTCAGTTTACGAAGTTGAAGTGCGTCTTGAATCATGTTGGACAGTTGGCAATGGAACAGATTCCTTCATGATCCCTAGCCCAGTTTTCTACCAGTTGCAGAACGAGTTTGGTTGGGAATTCAAAGAGATTCCGCAGATGAACTGAAAACTGAGGGGATGTGATTTGAGAACAGGCCAGACAAGTCCTGTCCTGTCTTAGTGAATGTGTTTGTGCAGCTTGCTTGGCAAAGTCTGAGCGCGCCAAAAACGGCTCAAAAGACGGTCAAGTGCGCTGAATTGTCGAGCTGGCCACCACGTTTGGTTTGTATGTTACGAGGGGTGAACTATATGTTATAATATTTCATATATGTAGAAGCATCCTGGAGTAGATAGAGTATGTACATTTCAAGCAACAACACTAAACTAGGAATATCTTTGAAAATTCCATATTCTATCTACTTGAGGATAATTATGTATAATATTAATGTATATTATATGGGCAAGTATGGGTGCAGGCTGGGGCACCCAAACTGCTGCTTTAGCATTTGTTGATTCGGATTGAGGGCAGCCTGTACCCCTTTGAGGGGTCAAGTCATTGCTACTTCTGAAACGGAATGATTAATACTCATCGTGACTCCATCATGTGTCCTTCCCTAGGCCTTATTTGTTGATGGATATGTACTATCTATATTTGAAGGCTGCCAGTTAAGCAAGTGGTTATGTATGTATAAATATAATATAATCCTTATTAAATATATATATATTATTACATTATATTCTATTTTATATTATATGTTATATTATATTTTATATGTTATTTTATATTATATGTTATATACTATATTGTATTATATTGTATTATATTATATTATATTATATTGCATTATGTTATATTTATATTATGTATACATATTATATTATATTACATTATATTTTTTATGTTATTTTATATTGTATTATATTGTATTATATTATATTATAATATATTATATTATATTATGTTATAATATATTATATTATATTATACTATATTATATTATATTATATTTTATTATATTATATTATATTATATATATTATATACAACTGGTGGAAGTCCATGTATACATAGTTACAACATGATGATTTACCACTCACTGGGATGCACGTCCAAATACCATCCACCGAAGAGTTTGTTGAATATTCAAAGTGTCAAAGTCGACGTGGTCCACTTGCAGGATCATCATCAACGAATCCAAGAACTGGGGGCCATTTTTGTCACCCGTAGTAGCTGGGTTATCCCACAAAAACTGGTTGGTGGTTTGGAACAAAGTGTCATAGAAAGTGGGACAATGTGGTGGTTTAATATGGTTTAATGATGTTTAATGATGGTTATATAATGGTTAATAATGGTTAATATTGGTTAATAATGGTTAATGTCTGGTTGCTGGTTTGGAAGATGTTTTTTTCATTTGTCCATTCAATTGGGAATTTCATACTCCCAACTGACGACCTCCATCATTTTTCAGAGGGGTAGGTTGAAACCACCAACCAGTAACTATGGCTAAGTGTGAACTACTTGGAGTATTAGTTGGGTAATATAGTCAATGATTAATATAGTTGTTAATGTCATATTACTCTATGGCTAATATTTGTTACTATAGTCAATGATTAATTGGATCATAGTTGGTTAGTCGTGATTTTCCTACTGTTTGATCACCTGATTATCCTGTTGTTGAAAATAAATGGCTGAAAAACAACCCTTCGAATCCTGATCAGTTTGAGGTGAACCACCAAAACACCTGTCAGACCTGTCAGGTGACACTTGAGCCATTGGAGCTCCTTGCGCCTGCCGACCTGGATTGTTTGTGATGGAAAAGAACTGGCAGCCGGATGGACCAATGTGGGTGTGGCTTGAAACCATGTCAAGTAAATTGGAAAAAGGACACACCATTTTAAAGGTTCTTGAAAGGCCCAAATGGTAGGTATGGTTGACATTTGGGGCTACCACATTACCCAATATCTGAATATATCTGATATTTCAACGGCTAAGATTGGAAAATCCCATGTTTTTCATGTGATGAAGAATGATATACCATCTGGTTATTCAACATAGCCATGGAAAATCACCATTTTTAATAGGTAAACTATCTATAAATGGGCCATGTTATGCCATTTTCCATGGCTATGTTAAATAACCAGCGGGTACCATGATTTGCCAAGACAAACAATGGTGTTTGGTTGCGGGAAGGTTCAGTTCACCAAGTTCTCCCGGGTCCACACATGCCAGAGATTTTCTGTTGGAATCCCATCCCTAATATATCACTGGCCATGCAACAGGAAGCCATTCATTGGAGGTACCTACCATTCCAATTCCATTCCATATATAAGGCCTATGTTTCAGAGAATATCCCCACAATTCATATGGCCAAACATATGGTACGTTTACGTAGCTCCATTTTAGTATCCTGACATTCCCATTGAATATCTCCTAATATCAAACCATATTTCAGGGACCCTTTAGGGATTGGTACCCCAAAAACTTGACACTGTTCGAAGGCGAATGGTGAAACTGGATCGATTTTTGATAAACCCACATTTTAGTGTCAGGAGATGTGTGGCAAAGCTGGGAAAGCATATGGTTCATACTGGCTAAACATGTTGTTTGGGTATTGCTGGGTTGTTGTTTGTTGTTTTCACTTCATATTTCCATACATGAAAGTGGCAGTTGTGCTAAGGGCTAGTCACAGCCAGCCAGTCTGCTTTGGCAACTCGGCCATCTCGCTTGACATATGGGCTCCATATAGGTCCATCAGCTTGACATTTGGCGAGTTGAGATGAGGAAAGAAGCTTTATGTTCCAAAATCCTTCCGTAAACCGAGTCAAACAGTGAGTCAAAAAGCTAATTACCATCTGGTTATTTAACATAGCCATGGAACACGGTTCATTTATTAGATGGTTTACCTATCAAAAATGGTGATTTTCCATGGCGAACTGTTAGTCATAACCAGAGGGTAACTTCTTAAGTAAAACCATCCAAAATCAGAAAAAAATCGCTTCCCCCATCTTTCCTGGAGCATCTCGCCTCAGCATTCAAGTCATCCAAGTGCTGAAGGATGGCCTCTCAACAACTTATCAATATTGAGCTTAAATGTTCTGAACTGTTAAATATACATCCAACATGATCCAACTAATTATGATGTGTTTTAAGTTACCATTTTTAATTTTCAGCTATAGACTATGGAATTTTTTTTTAATGAAAGGAAAACGAGGCCGGGCCTCCATATTCAGCCAATAGTTTTTCAGCCCACAAAACTGGACACCATATCTATGGAGCCAGCATGGCATGGGTCGACTGTGGCGCCCCGATGAGTGCCATCTGATTGCCATCAGGACATGGTTAATGATGGTTAATGATGGTTAATGATGGTTAATGATTGTTAATGATGGTTAATGATGTTGGTTAATGATGTTGGTTAATGGTGATTAATGGCTGATTGCCATCATTGTTTGTTGCCGCAAGGGATCCTTGGGGAGGGGGCCATCAACGATTTTCTCGTGGCTGCAATACTCGCAATACTCAAAAAATCCCCAACTCGGGTGGCGTTTTTCGTTATTCAGAAGTTATTCTGGGTTCATCCAATTCTTAATGCAGCAATCATAATCCAATCATGGATGTTAACTATTTCCGTAATAATCGCCAAAACTATTCTGGTTTCATTCAAATAGTATATATCCCATCGTAATATGTAATATGTGATTGATGGCCGTCACCTCATGACTAGAGGCCATGATAAGGGGTGACCATACCTCATTCATTCCATGTTTTGACCACGGCACATTGCCCGGTATTTCTCAGACTGGGGGGATTCTGGGGGGATTCCCACACTACAGGTTTCAACAAATTGAAATCGTCGAATGTTGCATGAAATGCCGATATTGAGGATATCCTCCAGCAATCTAACATAGTTATGGAAAATGGCCCATTTAGTTCGATGAGTTGCATATTGATTTACCTCTTTAAAATTATGGTTGGTGGTTTGGAACATTTTTTATTTTTCCATATATTGGGAACAATTACAATAATCCCATTTGACTAATATTTTATAGAGGGGTTGAAACCACCAACCAGAATTGTTATGTTCCATAGTCGAGTAAGAAATTACCAGAGGGTACATGGTAAACACATGGTGATAGGCAGTTGATTTGGCCTGGGTCTCTATTGCCTCCATTTGGTGCTGGGGATACCAATTCAACTGATACAAATTGAAGTAGTCCGTTCCCTGTATTATTGTATATATCAGTACCTCCTCCCGCATGGGTTCTCAAATGAATAGATCCATTACAAAAATCATGGTTTCTAGAGGGGTACTTTATATTAAGGGGAGCCGAAGATATTAATTATTCTTAGATCTACCCCTGTTTTGCAGGGCGCCCAAGTGTACCCGACATGACCAAGCAAGACCCAATGCGTGCAGCTATACAATTGAAATTACGACCCAAATCATGTTGCATTCATGACATTTGCAGGTGGTGTTTCCTATCAAATGCATTCTGCTGCCTGGGACAGACTATTAAGAGCACTTACCAGACCTCGTTGATAGTGTCAACCCAGTTCAAAATGGAATAAAAACTAATCTAGGATTGAAAAGTCATTGTACTTCTGGAAATGGCACGACGTTGCCATTTTTTGATCCAGAAAATTTTGTCGACGTGAGGACCGCAAGTCATGCCGGAGCAGGGCGGGAAGGGTGGTCGGAAGGCAGGGCTGCTGACATCAACGACAAGGAATGGGGCAATATGGCTATGGGTGAAATTTTAACACCATAAAAATGGCAAACGACACATCCCGTTCTGTAAATCATATATTCATAGTATGTTCATAATTATTACCCTCTGGTTATTTAAAATAGCCATGGAAAATCACATTTTTTTAATAGGTAAGCCATCTATAAATGGGCCATCTATACCATGGCAAACTGTTAAATAACCAGATGGTATTATCAGTAAATTTTTGGGAGGAGCTCTGACCCAGATAAACAGAATCAGTGTGTTGATATGTCGCCAGTAAGAATTTGTTTGTTGTCGCATCAGGAAATCAAACACGCTCCCGACGCTTTTCAGATGGACCATCATTGATGGTGGATGAGCTTGAAAGGACTCAAGCAACAGGGGTCATTTGATATTTTCATAGTCTTGGGTGGTTGGCATCACTTCAACTCCTGGTGTTGTTGTTTCTGTTTGCTATCAGAAAACGGTTCTGTTTCCACAAAAAGATGTTGAGAAGCCAGCTGATCTACTTTGCCAGACAAAGCCACCAGGCATTCCGATTCACCAAGAAGCCTGCCAATCGGTATCAATCGCTATTACCAATTAATTATCATCAATTGCCCTCCGGTAAATTAACATAGACCCTGAGAATCGCCCATTTTTAATGGAAACTAATTTTCCAACCCCTATCTGCCAGGGTCTATGTTAATTTACCAAGCCCTGCAGCTTTCAGGGCAGACGCTTTCATGCCAATGGCGGCAAGGCACTAGGGAGCTGAAATTTGGTTTTTTTTGCTGAAAGGGATGATTTTCCCACCATAGATGTCCCACATTCCCATTGGTTGGTTGATTAATAGAGGGGTTTGTTTACCCCTTTAACAACAGGTAAATGATGATAGTTGGTGTACCAAACCGGCCCACACCTATTTTTACCACAAGGACATTATTGTTTCCCACTGGCTATTCTGCTTTTGGATGTGTTGGCCTATGTTGGCCTCACAGGAACATGATGGAACATGGAGGTTTCCTAAAAAAGGGGTACCTCAATTGTTGGATGGTGTATAATGGAAAATACTGTTAACATGGATGATTTGGGGGTACCCCAATTTTAGGAAACCTCCACATGGTTGAAGATTCGTTGGAGTTCAAGAGAAGAAGAGATCAGTAGCACTCGTATGGCTCCAATTTCAACGTTGTCAAACCTAGCGGATGAATTAATTCATGGGGTGTAGCCCGCAGCAAGTGAAGGAACATGACCTGGAGCCCCTTCAAAAAAAGAACAATTCAGAGAGTTTCTCAATCAAGGGCTGGCATTCGGTCAAAGCCCTGCGAGTTAATGCCAACACTTCTGGATGTTCATTCCATTCAGATGGTGTTGCTTGAGGAATCGGTTTTTCAGGGAAAATTCACAAGAGAAGGCCCTTTTTAGACTGATGATAGAAACCCTTACCCTCTGGTTATTTAACAGTTTGCCATGGTATAGATGGCTCATTTATAGATGGTTTACCTATTAGAAATGGTGATTTTCCATGGCAAACTGTTAGTCATAACCAGAGGGTAAATTCCGGGTAAATCATCTTAAATCAATCCGGTGATACTCCACGTGCAGGGCGAACATGCGCACAGAATCCTGGCGGGTGGTGAGAAAAATACATAAAAATACCCTCTGGTAATTCAACATAGCTATTGAAAATGGCCATTTATAGTGGATTTACCCATTTTCCATAGCTATGTTAGTTTACCAGAGGGTATGCGCAACACCATCCCCCCAACCAAAATAGACCCTGCCATCCAATTGTGCCTTGGAAGACTACCCAAACGTCTTTAAACATTTTGGTGATTTTTGAGGGTCAAATTGTTGGTAGAGATGTTCAAGTTCCATTCATAATCATATCATTTACCCGGCCTGGTTATGACTAACAGTTCGCCATGGAAAATCACCATGTTTAATAGGTAAACCATCTATTTCTATGGGCCATTGTCCATGGCTATGTTAGTCATAACCAGAGGGTAAATCCCAATAAATGCCCCTGAATTTCCATACAATCCCATGTGTATTGCCATTGTCATTGCCAGTGGTCTGACACCAATCCAAAAAGCACAGATCTTTTCGCATGTCATGTCGCGCCGCAGGGACAAGCGCCCAATGCTGCTGGAGGCTGGAAGATGGGTCGGAAGGACCTGCATCGAAGTGGAAGTGCAAGTGGTTCATAGCCATGTTAGCCATTTTTTGGGTTTCATCAAAGAGGATACCCCAATAATTAGCTGGATGGTGAATATTTCATGGAAAATCCATCTATAAATGGATGATTTGGGGGTACCCTCTGGTAAACTAACATAACTATTGAAAATGGCCCGTTGAAATAGTGGATTTACCCATTGATAGCATGGTGTCTTTTTCCATAGTGACGTGGCTGTTCACCAGAGGGTAACCCCATTTCAAGAAACCCCAATGTTCAATCATGCTGACATAGATGTGGAAAACCATCCAGTTTTTTTTTTAGATCATGTTCCTAAGAGAAAACCGTACGGCTTTTTCGGATCAACAAACGGTTATTTTACAAGGCGAACTACATGGAGGTTTCCTACGTAATGGGGGTATCCCCAAATCATCCAAAATAATCTATTTCAGTATTGAAATGGCTTTGTCCAAAAATGGCGTACCTCTCCAAATGACGATGTTAATGGCGATAGACCATGACAAAGCCATATCATATAACCATATAATAACCGACTATATGATCTCTGTACGGGATGGCTCAACAACTGAGAAAAAAACAACACATTTCAGTGGGTGAACACCCATTTACCGGCGAAATTGCTAAATTGATGTTTGCCAGGGTGCCGGGATTTTGATTCATAGCCATCTGGGATAATTATATACATACATACATACGTACGTACGTACGTACGTACGTACGTACGTACATACATACATACATACATACATATATATGTATAAATAATGTATAGATTATGTTTTGTATGTATGTACATATATATATATATATGCGTATTTATGTGAGGGAAAAAAACAGTAAAACATCACCCACCGATCCAGTTTCAGCCTTTTTGAACCCCCCCGACCAGGTGGTGCAACCAACGAAGCTACACGGTTGCAGATATGGAGTGGGAAGACCATCCTTGACCAGCCTAGACAGTCGTTTTGCTCATGGGGATGATGTTGGCCCAAAGTTTTGGAGCCTTTTATTGACTTACATAGTATGCCAAGGTATGTCCGTAGCATTTAGATGGCCAACCTCAATAGTTCAAAAAATTGGCGGGCCATGTTGGTGTAAACATGTCGTACCATGATCCAGAGACACATCATTGGTCAAAATCATCATGCTGGTTGGTTAAGTCTCAAGACCAGGGCCTCATTATGATACACCAATAGTAGATCTTACACACAATACCCCAATTATGGGATAGAATCATTGTCACATATAGTGTATACACACATACATAATATGTGTATGTATATATATATATGTGTGTGTAATAGTATAATAGATAAATATATATGATGATATGTATATATATATTACATAATCTCCCTCTGAGCCATCCATCTCCATCTGTCCTCCACTTGGCACCGTGGCAGGCCTCTGATGGCCAGCGTGTGCGCAAGGAACAACAGCAGCTGCTGGAGGCGTTGACGACGTCGTCAATGTCGACGTTGGGGGATTTACCGGGAAAACATACAAAAACATGTGGAAAACCCATGAAAACGCCATGGTTTTCTCAGAAGAATCGTCTAGAAATGCTTGGCTATTGATTTTTTTTTTGGAAGCTCATGGCGTTGGGTTTACCACATTAATCTAAAATCATATAGATTGATGGAAGTACAATCAAAATATTCCCATCTATTTGGAGGTTTCCAAAAAGTGGTGATCCCCAGTTTCAATAGGTTTCAATACTGAAATGGTCATCCATGACTTGGATGAGTTGGAAAGCCCGTATTTTTGGGCGTTGTATGGTGTTCAGTACAAAGGCGAGTAGTTCGTAGCAATGCCCTTTTGAAACCAAGGGTAGTAGTTACCTTCTATAAGCAAACTTCGCAACGTGGAATCCCACGGTTAAGTCGGAAAGTCATCTAAAAGGGCCTTTTTTTAGATTGCCGAAGAGGTTGAGATCTGGGCATGGCTCAAAATGATTGATCCCGCCAAAAGATGGAACCTTTGTTTTGGTGAATTCACATCATTTCACAACGCAGTTTTGAGCCACAGTTTTTTTTGTTCGCACTTGTTTTCACATAAAAATCTTGCAGAGCCGTTCATTCCCATAGGATCCATGTATGGTATATATGGTAACATTTACCATCAATATACCCCCAATGTTAGCATATATACCATACATGGATCCTATGGGATTGTACATTTCGCCACACACAAGGGCACGCACTTTTTTCGGCGACGTCTTGATACGGCTCTGAAATGGGGTGAACAGCCAAATCACGGTTGAATGGATGTGCCAGCATCTTTCACAGAGTGAGACTGTTTCTTTTTTGTTTCCGCGGACTGGCAACTGGTTAAAACCGATGTTTCATGTTTCTTTCTCCATTGATGTTTTGCATTATGAAACCAAATATGCTGGTACTGACCATTTTGACACTCCTATCATATCCGATCTTTCCAGTCACCAGTGCCTGTTTTATTTGGCACGTGATCCACTTGATATATCATGTGCCTCGATAGAGACTTGCAGAGGGACTTGTATCGTATTGTATCCCCAACTCATCTTCACTCATCCTCGCTCTCTTTATCTCTCGTTCGCGATTTCTGTAAATTACGCCTAATATCATATGTTTTAGCTATCTTCAAAGTGTTTATTGGATGAACCATAAAACATGGGATTTAAGATAACAAAAATCGGGATTGAAACATTTTAAATGAGGACTTTAGCCAGATTTATGGACAATGAGGCAGATGAGTATTCACAAATTATGGGAATATTCGTCGCGAAAGTCAGATGCGAAACCGTTGGAATGGAATTTGGGACAGACAAACCCAGTCGGGATTTGTCATGCCCTTTACATGTATGGGAAATGGTTAAAATTATGCAGATTCCGAGGAACACACACGCAGAGAGTGAGGTCCTCTTAGATAGCTAAGTTGACTTATAATATCTTATAGTTAATTTGATTGATTGACTATGGTTTATGTTGTTTATGGTGGATATAACTATAATTACCATGTTTTTTTTCTGCCACTAGGTTTCAGTTTCACTGCCCCAGAGCTTCCCCAGGAACTAACACAGGCCGAAAAGGAGGACGATCGGAGCGAGTTTGGAACAACGAGCTGAAGGGTAGTGATTTCATCAGCAAACATGAGAATGTAAACCTAAAATTGTGTTTTTGGGAAATCGGAAATCTTGGAAAAGACCGTGTATATATATAATTCCAAATATATATATATATATCATACATGCAAAGTAACCCCCTAAAATGAGTCACAGATTGGAAAGCTGGAAATTATGAGAGACATATCATCTACACAGTCCTGGAATGTTTATTTTAGGTTTCCGAAAAAAAAACAACTGCAATGTCAAGGGATAGCGAGTTTCATAGTGGAGCGCGAAATACGGAGATTTATTCAACCAATGCTGGGATGTACCTCTAAGCTTGGTTTCATTCAGAAAACCGATGTAGCTGGATGATCGCGATGCACATATAGTATCAAAAGTTTTGAAACATATGGGTCCAAAGGCAACAAAGTATCCAAATAATTTCTTTGACTCCGACTGCATTCTTCTCTGTGCAGTTTGTTGTAGAAGGGTCCGGCTTTGATTTGTTGATCAATCCCAGTTCATGCTCAGGTACTAAAAAATAAGCGTTGCTACCCTCCCGTTAAACATGACAAAGCATTGGCTATGATTTCCTAACCAAACATTGCAATGTGAATAACATTAAATTCGACTAGATGGGAGTTTCTCACTCTCTTGTCAAATATGTTTTATGATATTTTTGCTTATATATAATAACATATAATATAATATATATATAATATATATATAATATATATATATAATATATATATATATAATATATATATAATATAATATAATATAATATATATATATATTATATAATATTTATATATATATAATATATATAATATATATATAATATAATATATATATATATATTATATATATTATATTATATATATATATATAATATATATATATATTATATATATAATATGTGAATATATCACCGTTGTTTTTTGACGTTTGTTCCGAATTTACAACATGTCTTGGGGATTTTTTCAAGATTTACACCCCAAACTCTAGCCGCCAGGACGGCTTCGAGGCGGCGCGGACATTGCTGGAACGGAGGTCTTCAACAGTCAGTGCAGGTGCGACCCACGGCACAATGATTTCACCCTCGAGATGTCGTAGAGGACAGGGGTTTTCCAGGGATGTTTGTTGGTTAATGTCAACCCCGGATGAGACTAAGCCATGGTTTATTAATTAGGGGGGTACTCCTCCAATAGTCATAATCTAATACTTAAATGGTACCCTCCCAATTAAACAGCCTGGGGGTTTATTAATCCAGGGTTGACATTAAACACCATGAATACTATCCCATTTATGGGATTCTAAATGGGTTATATGGCTTATCTAAACTGGTTGGTGGTTTGGAACATGAATTTTATAAACACCATGAATACTTTCTAGTTAACTAGTTCGTTATCTAGTTCGTTTCTTTTGTGTACCATAAACCCCATCGAATTCAGCCACAGCCATATCTCAACTGAACGCTATCGCTCGCTCGACGGCACCATCCTGTAGGCATCCGGTAGGATTTCCATCGCTAATGATTAACTGATGGAAATCTCTACAGTTGCTGGCTGCGGTTGTCTTTTGAAAAATTGCTTCATGGGGAAGATGGCCATAGCTGAATGTGGGACAATAGCTAACTCGGATTTGGATTTGGCATTGGTAATATGATAAACTCAAAAGCCCTCTTTGTGGTGTATTGGTTATTATTGTGTTTGCTGCATTGTGTTGAAACTTCTTGGCAAACCTTAGCTGGCTTGTTCAATAGCTCAATAATTAGCCATGAAATGGGGATGCACGTTGCAGCAACAATTGGCAGTCACATACAGTCACTAACACTTATGTATACTGAGTATACGATCTCTGATGACTGGTTGGTGATTGCAAATACAGTTTCGTTTTTCGTTGTTTTTTTTATCAACGCAAACTGGCAGCCCGGTGACACTTCTGCTTGGTGTTCTCAATAGTCTTGCCGAATAAGATGATATGTGATATTATCTAATCTATGATAAATTTGTTCTAATGTTTTTGTGTTTCTGCATGAGATGATAATGCCAATGAACACTCATAACAATAGATATATTATATGATGTAATCATATTATTATTCATATTATTTATATTTATGATATCATACACGGTGTTTTCCAATGCACCCATGGCTATTGCATATACATATATAAAAAGAATATATATATATATATACATATGGGTGCACCATGATTATCATATTATATTAAATACTTTTTTTAATTCATAGAATTGGATTATGGGAAAATTTACAGGAAAGCCCCATATTTCATGGCAAAAACCATGGTTTCCTGTAAATTTTCCCTTAAACCAATCCAGTGATTAATGCACTCCTGTATATTTATGTTGTTCATCCTGCAGCCATCCGTTGCTCCGTTAGTCCTGACAGGTGCGCTGGCTCGTGCGCACTTGGAATTGGCCGAACGAGCCAAGCGTGCCTCCAGTTTGGAGCAGGCCGGGCGTCGGATGTAGCCTCTGGTGAACTAACATAGCAATGGAAAATCACCATTTTTGATGGGAAAATCCACTATAAATAGCCATTTTCCATTGCTATGTTAGTTCACCAGAGGGTAGCCTCTGATTATTTAAGATAGATGGCCAAAAAAAAATGATTTACCATTTTAAAGATGAATGATGACCTATTAAAGATGCTTTAGCTATTAGTGATGTTTGATGACATGATGATTAGGATGTACAGATAGCTATGGACAATGGAAATTTACCTTTACGAATAGGTAAATCAACTGCAAATGGCAACTAATGATACTGCTCTGTAAATATCAATGACAGTCAATGACTATGTAACTATATAGTAGTTAATGTATACTGTCTTAATGATTTACATGCACACATATATATATATATATTACGTGTATATATATATTATGTGTATATATATATATATTGTATATATATTTTGTATATATATATGTATATATATATATATATGTATATACATATGTATATATATATATATGTATAGTTGCGTGCATATACGTATGTGTGTAATGAAAAAACTTAATGAAATAGTATCTATGTATATCATTACATAGTACTCAATATACATATATATATATATATACATCTATTTCATTGTAGTACTTAACATGAAGTAATCCCCAGCTCTCGCCAGGTGAAGTATCACATGCTGCAAGCCTTGAAGGTTCAACCTCGGGCGGCACAGGTGCCGTGGAGCTGTGAAAAACAGGGGGCTGATGGCGTTGGTTAATCTTCGTTTGTAGTTGATGATGGTTAATCATAGTTAATGATGGTTAGTCAGTCATATGGTTATTGATGATTAAAGATAATGGTTAATGGATGAAATGGATTGGGTTAAGGGAAAAAAAATAGCCGGAAAGCCCCATGAATTTAATGGGAAAATCTATGGTTTCCGGTTAAGATTTTCCCTTAAACCAATCCATTGATTGGTGGTTAATGTTGGTTAATTGTTGCTTAAGTTTAGTATATTTGTGATTAATGCTGGCTTATGGTGATTTATTTTGGTGCAAGATAGTTTAAGTTGGTTTCAATTTTGTTTGGATGGTTTGTTTCTTAGCCGTTGATGCAGGAATGAGTGATTAAGACGTTATCAAGGATTGGCAACATACGAATATAGGATATCATATGTATACACACACATATGTATATATATATATATGTATGTGTGTAGCTCATTGATAAATGATTTGTATATAGCACCGCAGGATTGGCGATCGGTTGCAGAGACCCCGTAACTTATTGGTGAAGCTGCCAGCGTACAGCGTGGATAACACGGTGTGGTTTCGGTTCAATGGGTTTTTGTTTGTGTTTCACATGTTACCCTCTGGTAATGACTAACAGTTTGCTATTGAAAATGGCCCAGTCGAAATAGTGAGTTTTCCCAGTAATAGCATGGTGATTTTCCATAGTTATGTAAACGTTTACCAGAGGGTATGTGTAAAGGTGTTTAGTCTAGGGTTTTTATTTTGTTCTGAGTGTTCAATACTGTTAATATGCTTGTACTTGGTACTTGTACACAGATAGAGAGATCGTTTGTGAAATAGTTTGAAACACATCCCACCAAGGGTTTGGCCGCATGTTTCAATCACACTATTTGCAAACTGACAACAAGGTACAACAAGTAGAGTATGGGCTGACTCCTTACCATCCCAGAATAGGTTTAAGGGAAACTTTTGCAGGAAACCCCTATATTTACCAGTTCGGAAACCATGGTTTCCGGTTAAGACTTTCCCTTCAACCGATGATACCAATGATCCATGATCTCTTTGGGGAATCCTGTTGGGTTTTGTGCGCATGCCCGTGACACCTGCGGGGCTAACGGGCAAAGATACAGCCAGCCAAGACTTTCACGGACCGATATCCAACCCCTGAGCTCGGGATGATTCCGTATCTGGAAATAGAGGATCAATAAATGGTTGTTAAAATGGTAATAAATGGATATAAATGGTTGTTTAATGTTGTTGAGTGGATTTAGGGGTACAATCTCAGACACACCCATATTATGACGATTTCACATGTTAATCCACCATTCAATCAATTGGCTTCAAGGATGTGAATGGAAAACTTTTAGTAGCTCCTTAGCTCCCCAATTTTGTTGGGAATTCGGATACCAATGCCTCGAACAGTCCCTCCATTCACCACTGAATAGCCGCTATATATATATACGTGTACATATATATATATATATATTATATCCTCATTATATGTATATATATTATATATATCATTATATATATATGTATATCATGATATTATATATATACATCCATTGAAAGGGAATTGACACCAATTCCCAATAGTGAATACAAATTAATATGCTACAATCATCCAGGGGTTGGATTCGTCCCAATAATCATCCAAATATACTATACTATATTAACATTAACATATGTTAACTCCGTCAGTCACCGACAGAATCAGCACACTCTGAGTATCTCTGAGTCACTTACACCCCTAAGTTGGATACACCAACACACGCCAACATATGTTAATATATGTTAATATGTGTTAATAGACTATAATTTATATATGTTAATATGTGTTAATATTTTTTTCATTCACCCGCCATTGAGTCTCACTCGTGCGGCACATGCGCGACTAATTAGCCTGGCTTCGTCAACCCTGAAAATCGGGCAGAAATTTGCCTGACAGGGAGTCTTGTATAGCACAGGCATGAAGAGCAGAGATCCACTCATGCTCATCAGCAGCCAATGGTAAAGCCTGGACAACACCGCAAGAATCAATCCGATGTTTGAGGCTGTATAAAGTGGCTAAAACCATGGCCCTGCACAGATGAGAAGGGTATTCTTTGGCCGACGCAGTCTTATATGATCCGTCGCCATGCTTTCCAGCAAGAGCATAGCACGGTCGTACAAGAGTCGAGTCAGTGTTTTGCTCGAGAACTTTTTCAACCAAGGCAGGGGGCCCCATGTTGACAGCACGAAGCGTGGTGGGTTTGATCCCACGACTTCCATATTTCCACTGCTCGATCTTGTGTTGCTTGGCCTCATGCAACGCCATAACCCAATCGGAATGGCAGTTCAGCCTCCAGACAGAAACTTTGTTGCTGTCTGAATTTTCAGTTGGATGCTCCATGAGTGAGCATGCCCCTGCCAAAACTAAAGAAACTTCAGCGATTAGGGAATGGAAAAGGAGCCTAGTGCCAATCAGAACCTGAAACATCTCACGGCAACTGCGGTCAGCCAGCAGCCACGGGAACTCAGAAGAGCGAAGTGGTCTGGGATGTCGTTGATCAGGGAGATCTATGTGCCGAGCAGCGCTAAAAGTCTCACATGGTGGTCCAGTTAAGCCTGCTGCAAAGAAGCGCTTTTTGATGATGCGCAACATGCGATCATAGACCGGCCCACGATCTAAATTGCCGTGAACGGGATGGATGGCCGTGTCGACGGACAGGATGCGTACAATGAACCCAGGCAGCACTCCAGAGCAGCACTCAGTCCAGAAGTGGCAATCACCTCTGCGTCGTCGGCCGCTGAAAAGGTGCAAGATCCATAGCACGGGTGTACCGTCTTCATATGAGACAGGGACACGGTTGCATGCTGGCTTTGAAGAAACTGGTGTCCTAAAATGTTCAAACCCAACCTTCTGAAACAAAATAGGATCAACCAATGGTTCAAGTTTTTCCTTGCCTCCAGCCTCTGCTTCAGCACTGAGAACAGGCTCACCAACGAAAGCTGTGTTCATACGATGTTGCCAGTCCAAGAGCCGACCAATTGGAAGTTCAGCAAAGAGGTTGTGGATCGCTTGCTTCAGCCGTTGAAAAACGCTGGGCAAAAGATGATCGAAACGCCGAAAAATGAGCTGCTGGTGAGTCCACTGCCAGGCTGCCCAAATGCGAGCATCGTCATCCGCAAGGAGTTCGCAAAGTTGAAAAACGATCCGGTCAGGGTCAACACTCCCAACAGGATGCCAATCCTGGACAATGGCATCGGCTGCTTGGAAAACCTCATTCACAACATCATCGTCAAGCTGGGAAGGCAAACCTTCAGCCTCCCATGCAGTCTGTAGTTGGCAAAGCGCGGCTTCTCGCGAAGGACAACCCTGCACAGCAACCGTTGCTACTGGTGAGGAAGGAAGGCGTGTAAACCCTCTGAGGTCTTCTGGAATTTCAATTGCGAGAGCTTCATGCATTGGAGCATACTGCCATGTAAGCTGTTCGTAACATCCATTGCGATGTGACCGCGTAAGTCGCAAATGTTGTTGCAGGCGAGCGGAGGACCAGAAGCAACGTTGGCATGCGAGGCAAGTGTCAGAATAAACAAATCGTCTTTCGTCCGAGATGATTTGGTGAGCAATCCACTGATGTACTCTCAATTTCTGAACATTGTCAAATGACTTGGAGCACCAGTCGCAATGCAACTCAACTGATCCAACAACTTGTTCGCTATGAGCGGCTTTGCCAAAAAGGACGCCTCCTTCACTCAAAGTGCTCTGCAAACGGTGATGCAAGGAATGGGCTTCCCCAACCACATGCAACTGAAAAACAGAGCGTTTGAAAAGACGACGGACACGTCCAGGCCCACGTTCAGAGTTCTGCTGCAACCAAGTGGCAATGTGCTCGACTGTGCAAGTGTTTGGATTCCAGGGAAAAAATTCCGCATCGACACTGTGCAACCAATCAAAGGCACGGCACAAAGCAACAAACCAGCCCTGAGGGTGAGTGGCATTCGCAGTGAAAAAATCCACCAGCAATTGGGGTCCATCCTGAATGCAATGAAATGCATACAAAAGCCGAGCTTTGGCCAAGCGCAAGGCTAAAGGGGGAAGCTTCCAATGGCATTGGAGCTCAAAATCTGTCTGCTGACTGTCGGTCCAGAAGCCGTTATTGATAATGGATCGTTGCCAATTCATGATGGCTGCGTGAATCTGATTGAACAATCTGGTTGATAAAAGTCCCCAGTTTCCTGCTCCATGCAAAAGAATGGGAATGATGAGAGATTCAAACAGTTTCAAACGAGCTTCAATGGGAACATTGCGGTTCCTAAGAATACTCTTGGCAACTTGCCGGTGTGCTTGGATAGCTCTGGATCGTCTGTGGGTGATCTCATGCTTAAGGGATCCGTCAGCTGAAAACTGTGTCCCGAGATGTTCGTAGATTGCAACACATTTCAGCGGTGCATCCCTGGAAGGCAGAGTGATGTGCCCCAATCGCTCCACAAACAATGCATGTCGAAGCGCTGAAGCGCCTTCACCACGAAAATCCACAACGACTTCTGTTTTTTGCCGCTTGAAGTTCAAGGTCATGCCAGCAGCTAAAAACGCATCAACAGCCGCTAGAGTAACTTGTTGAATAGTAGGTTCAAGAAGGCGGCCTTCTGTGACAACAATGGGTACGGCAACGTCGTCAACCCAGGTCACCGGTGGGGCAGGGAGCCCGAGGTGACAAAGGCCATTCTGCAAAGCAGGGATAGTTTGAAGGAGTTCTTGAAATTTGGTGAGGACCTTCACCATCATCGCATTGAACGCAATGTCTGCGAGAGGACTGCCTGGCCGACTTCCTCGTGAAGTTTCAAATGATGAGGTGGTCCCAGGGATGCAAAACCAAGTCGAATGATGGGCATCCTTGATCAACCGCTGTTCATGAACAGGAACCTGCTGCAAGAAAGCTTGAGAGGCCTTGGAGATTTCTTGTTGCAGTTGGGAAGGATCACACCCAGCATCTTCAAGAAGGCGAAGAAGGTGGGCAGGTAAGTCAACGTCATCACCGAAGAGCAACTGACGAATCATGCTGTGAAAAGCGCTCTTCACATCCAGAAACAGCACACAAAAAGAAAGCTGCAGAATTTGAGCACGTAAGTGAACTTCTTTCAAATAATGCGTAGCGAAAAGCGTGGTGCACTTGGGGAAGCCTCCCAACTGCAGTGGATGCCGCCACCGCAGGACGTACGGGAGAAACCTTTGTCTCATGATGGCGTGCATGACTTTTCCGATCACGTCAATGAGCATGATACCTCTCATGTGAGAGACGTCACGACTGAATGCTTTCTTTGAAATTGAGAAGAGCCTGCCGCCCTTAAACTGAACAGGCTCGTGTCCTGTAAGCCACATCTTTAAGGCAAGCTGAAAGATAGGTTCAGCTGCATCAGCCCCTTGTTGTTTCAAAAACTGCGGTGAAAGACCATCAATACCTGGCGCACGATAGGGAGTAAGTCGCTGCAGTCGATTCTCAACGTCAATGCGACTTGGCAATTGTTCGAGAGAAAGTTGCAGCGGCTGATCGTGAGCTTGAATCTGTTGGTGGGCATGGCATTTCTTGAGCAAATCCTCATATGAGAGTTCACTTCCGCCTTCAAGGGTGCAATAGTGAGCAATTTGCTGCTCCGGCGTTGGTCCTTGACACCTGAGGTTGTTGCGTCTGCGGTTGCGCCATTTGGGAAGCACTGGACGGATCGCGTCCCAAATGCGGCAAAACCCTGTGCGTGCAACCCTTCCTGTTTCTTCTGCAAGATCAGTGTAAAAAGTAGTGTCATCTCGTCTGACAGCAACTCCAACTTGCAACGAGAGTGAATGATACTTCATCTCAGCAAGGCAACTTTGAAATTGATGTCCTTCAGCTCATGACAAGGCATGACGCATGGATCGTAGGCAGAGCGCCATTGCTGAAACACGATGCGAAGCCATGTTTGTCGATGTGTTCGGCGATGATCCCGAAGTCGACGGAAGGCAAGCTTCTTTCTTCGGATAAGCTCGACGGTCTCAGCAGTGAGATGCTTCTTTCGCAAGGTGCTCATTTTGTCTGGCATCGCAGACAACAGCCGATGCTGTAAAAGAGCTGCATGAGTGTGCACGTCATGGCTCCAGCATGGATTCTGCACGTCCATATTGCCAGCAGAGAACTCAGGCTTTGCCGCGTTGTGGCGCAAAGTGATCCAGATATCAGCGCAAACACACTCGTGGTCAGGTCGAGCAATGGAGAGGTCGATACGGTCGTCAATCCAAGTGCTGGTGTGGCAAACAGGAATGTTATTGGAAACTCCAATGAAGTCAATTCTACCGGAGCCATGTACTGCATGCTGCCAGCCAGGTGTGATGAGATCCATGATGAGCCTCAGCGAACGTTTGGGGGAGAAAGATATTGTGTCGAAGCAACCATTCGTGGAAGAGGGCACCACGCATTGATTCCGGCTCCGCACCAAACGATCCAACCAGGCTAGATGTGACTGAGCCAATGCGACTATTGGCGTCACATAGAAGGACACAATCCCAAGACGATAACCCATTAGGCAGAATTTGAGATGTTTGCAACCACCAGTTGCGCACGAAGTCAGCCTCATCAACACAAGGAGCATGAAGAACAAGGACAACGATGTGCAGTTGCGGATGAGCAATCTTGACAATCAACCGGCGATCATCGCCATGGATAAGTCGCAGGTGATCTGTAGAGAGCTGGATCTTGTCAGTGCCAATCTCAATGGTTAAGCGGAGCCACAGTTGGACGCCACCTTGGCCGCGATCGTTGGCACATCCCGAGAACACATGGAATCCTTCAAACTGATCATGGCCCTGACGTCGGCATCTGGTTTCTTGTAGGCCAATGCACTGCACGCCAGCTGAATGGAATTGCTTGGCAAGATGTTCTGCTCGAGCGCCAAAAACTGAGGAGGAAAAATCACGCATTGGATACAAGGTGAGAACATTGGCGGTGGCAACTCGGAGGCGCAAATGTTTGGATTGAGTCATGGACACCGAAGCCTGTTGCAAACGAGCCACAAAAGGGTGGAGGCATGCTTTGGGCACAGAACTCATAGGTGCTGCACAGTTGAACTTCCAGCACCTGTCTTTGAGCAAAGGTGCATCCGAATGTCCCTGCAGTGACATTTCGTAAAGCCAAAGCCACTGAAGAGGAGCAAAATCAGATGCACGGAAACTGCAGCACTCCAGAATGGCATCCAAATCTGTAGTCACCTGTTGGCTCTTCCGAGCAGCAAAAGCAATAGAATCAGCAAGGTCGTTCCATGGGTGACCCGAGTGCCCTTTGATGTGCATCCATTCTGTCTTGACATGCAAAAAAGTCTCAAGCCAAAGGTTAAGTGACCGTTCAACAATCGCAATGTCATGGTTGCAAGCTGGGGAAGAAAGTCCCTGAGCAATTCGGCCAGCGTAAACGCAATCAAACAGGAAAGCACAGGGCACATTGTAGCCATATCGCTGCACAAGATGTAGAGCCCAATGAAGTGCAAGCACAGAGGCAGAGGACTCAGCTCTGGGGGCGCTTGGTGTATACCAAGAGAAAGATGATTGATATCCACCAAAGCATGGACCATTGTCGGTCACTACAATCAGGACGACTCCTGTCGTGGCGCGCGGGCAATCATGATGAAAAGAGCCGTCGACGTAAAATTCAAACCTACTTGGAACCTCCTGGGTCCAAGTGGGTGTGTTGTGAAGAGCTTCAATAGAGTTGCGTCGACAGTTCACCTGCTCGAAGTCAAAAGAGGGTCTGGGCTCAAAGGAGTAAAGAAGTTGGCGACGCACAAAATCTACTCTTTGACAGTCAACAAGAGTCCAAATAGGCTTCGGTAAGGCATCATCCAGGCAGATGGCAACGCTGCTTTCAGACTGTGTCTGATGGAGAACATTGCCAAATGCTTCGTCCGAAGTTCGGTCAGGCTGTGGATGATTGTGCACATAAGTGCCAGGCAACTGCAGGGAAACAGTCTCATCATGTTCCTGGGCATGCACAGGCTCATCACTAGGAGGAGGATCGTCAATCTCAATAATGATATTTTCACCATTGTCGATTCTGGGGGCACCCACAACAGGCCAAACTTGTCTTTCTCCACGCACAATAATACGCTGCCAAAGCCATTGAGATGGAATCGGAAAAGCACCAATAGCATCATTGATCGAAAGGAATTCATATTGATGAATAGCAACATGCTGAAGAATGGGGTCAAGGTCGTCTTTGTAGTCGGCAGTCAGCAAAATCGATGCACAATCAGGCAAAGGTTGCTGAACGAGAATCAGGTGCCCAACATAAGACTGACCAGGCGTATTTCTCGGTGTTGGAGCAACCCACCAGAATTCAATGGGCAAACGGCTGTCAAGACGGTCTTGCCAACGTTCGTAAAGCGTTCTCTGCCATGCCGTGACATCAGAGCGTAGACGAACAGTTCTGGGAAGCTGGCACCGAGGAGCACGTTGCCCGTTGAGTTGCCAAGTTTGCAGGTAAATAATGCGTCCTTCATCTTCACGTTCCACCATTGCAAACTCGTCAAAAGCCCGTTGCAACTGTTGCACCCAGTCAGGTGAGCTAGTCAAACAAGCATGAGGTGTTGATGGAAGGCGGAGTGCAAAGGGTGAGAGCACCTGGGACGAAGAACTCGCTTGTTCGGGTGCTGCTCGTTGGATGTATAAACGAAAAGCATGTCCGTGGCGAGCAAATGCACGTTCATGTTCCTCGAGACGACGAGCTCCGAACCAAAGCGTACAGGTGTTTCCTGGGACTTCAGGAGGACAATCTTCGACAGCATTGGCCATAAGTCGAATAGAGTACAAATCGACTCTGTCACCAGCGACAAGCGCCAACGAATGTGCACGCCCTTGGTCGTAAGCGTTGTCATAAACCGAAACAACGAGCGAACGATCGAAACGATGAGGGCGCTGCACGATCATGAGCTGACCGATGGCTTGTCCGTCAGCGTCCTCAGGGAGAGGAGATACCATGTAAAACTCAAGGGGAGCTCCAATCACCAAACGCTCGCGCCAAAGATGTCTAATCTGGGCTTCCCAGTTCACAAAATCATTGGCAAGGATAGCTACTCTGGAGTGAAAGCAGCGTTGATAGTTCTCGTGATCAGTGAACCACGTCTCCAATCTGGCAAGGAGCTCAATGTCTCCTGGCCCAATTGTTGCTCCACCTTGCCATGCTTCGAAGACGTCCTGCACCCAGGGAGCATATGTGCCGATGTCTCCTTCAGCGTCAGGAAATTCAGGGAGAGCCTCATTGGCCTGGTTGTACAATCGGACTGCATTCAGAAAGAAGTCCGTGAAACTGCACGTGCGTCCCTTGCTGACGTTCTCCAGATGCAGAAGAGAGGTTTCATCATCACTGGAAAAACTAACCGAGTCATAGGCACTATCGTTGGAGATCCAATCACTTGCATTGATGACCCGATTTGGATTGGGAACAGTGTCAAGATGCTCATCAAGGCCAAAAAGGTCGATCATCTCAAAAATCTCCTCAGGTGGAATTCCAAGCTGTAGACAGCAAGCAACATTTCTCGCAGTGATGTCGGGCCCAAAATCATCATCAGGCGGAGAAAGAGCAATACGGATGTAATCGCCAGGTTGCAATGTTATCAAAGCATGTGATTCCAAACTGATACGTACATGATTGTGCCAAATGATGCAAACAAAGCGAATATACCGACTGTACTCACTGAGATGCATGGCTCGAAGCAATCCTTGTGATGAAATCCGTTGTGGTGCATAAATAGGGCTGCGGATCCTTTCAATTGGTTGGGTGTGGATCCTAGAATGAAACTCAGTGTCAATGAGAACGAGACAACTAGAGGATCCTTCAGGTAAGTCATCAGCGTGCTGTGCAAGAACAGCAAACTTGCGCTGAGTTTGCAAATCTGCCGGGTTGCTCGACACAGTGTGCACCTGGACAAGCTGTTGTTGTGAAAAATGCAAAGCTCGAGCAACTTGCAAATGTCGCAACCTGGGACTGGCCCAGCACAGAACAGAATAGATGACACTCTGCAGCCAATTTTCGTCAGTAGATGAACTAGATGATGATGCATCTTCAATGACTTGGTCATCTTGTAAAGCAATGCCATCAACGTCGGCAACAGCTTGGGGAGGACTTCGGGGTCTCCTCATGCGTTGCCCAGCAGCCATAAACGAACTGAAGTCATCAACATCTTCAGGAAGCGGAAAAACTTCAAGAACCAAACTGCAGAGAGAATGAATAGCAATGCTCTGTTCAGTGAGTGGCAAATCACCTACAAACCCTTGACAATTTCGAGATACACATTGCACGGACGCAGGCACAATGGAAATCAAAGTCGACAAAGAAATTTCGTGAGGCATGATTTGCGCGGAATGGATGATGGCATCTCTTGCGGTCGATCTGAAAATGCCAGAAACCACGCCAACTGGCTCACCTTGGGTCCTTTGATGCAATATGACATGTGCCAGATGCCCAGCATACACACAGGCTGGAGGGGGCGGTGAAATCACTCCAAACTGCACTGGGACGTTAACATCAAGAAGGTCACGCCAAAGACTGGCAAGTTGTTCTCGCCACGAATCAACTGGGAGAAAGAGCCGAATGTCTCGTGGCCGCTCATTTCGACGAATGCGATCGCCATGAAGAAACCAAGTATTGACCTGTATAAAAGAGTCAGAATTCTTGGGATCAATCCAATGGTGGGATTCGAAAAGTCTGTGCAAATTGTAAAGCCATTCACTTTGAGGTTCAATGCCAAATGATCCTCTGCTGGAAATTGAGGTCAGAGGCAAAGAGTGCCCATCTTTACAACGTATCCTATCAGAAGAGTTGGGCGAGATCGACACGTCCGGGGTCGACAGCGGTTCCCGTCTTCCAACACTCTGAAAAGGATGTGAAATTGCACTAGAAAAGGATTCATCAAAACTCGATGAGGATTTGGAAAATCGGCTGCGGTTCATTTCGGCAATCAAAGGACAACCACTCCACGGTGTCAATTCGTTTCCAAACCAATCAAGAGAGAGTCGAAAATGGCACGCTCTCCAGGCATCATTGTCTCCAATGTACAGATCAACACACTCGTCAAAACCCACATGCGAGGTTGATCTTGGCTTGGATGACAGTGCTGGAAATGATGGCTTGTCTGGGGCCAGCGATTCAAACAAGGATCCGACTTCAAGGGATAATCGCAGAGCTTGCTCACGAGCAGCAAATTCACACTTGAAAGTGGGTTCCTGAAGTATCGAATGGCTCCATTTCATCGCAACAATAGCTGGAAAATCATCGAAGGCTGGCCTCCGACTGCTATACCATAAGGTCATAGGCAGTCGGCCTACTTGAAAGACGGAGCTTCGGAAGTAGTGCCTGTGGTGTCTTCGACACGTGGACGTTTCGCAGCATGCTCCTCGATCTTGATGGATTCGGCTTCTTTGGAAAGCTGTTGCCAGGACGTGGAAAGCGACTGGATGCTCTCGGTGATCTGCATAGCTGATGGGCAGCTGTCTCCGGGCAGATCTTCCTCGTCGCTGATTTCCTGTACATTGCCTGCTGACACTTTGGAGGCATCTAGGCATTGCTTGGCTTCCTGAAATTGTTCTTTGGCAACAGAGATGCGCTCCTGCAAGGCCTTCTCGTGCTGCTCGAAGATCTTGGCATACTCGGACCAGCTTTTGACTGCTTCTGCCAAAAAGGATTTCCACGTGCTGAGGTGCTGCGTACGAGCCAGTAGCGCCTCCTCGTAGGTGGTTCTGGCTTCGCCAAGCGCCAAGGCAGCTTCCTGCAGATCCTTGATGGCTCTCTTGCTTTGCTTGTGTGAGTGCTTCTGAATTTGCTGCTGAACATCTAATGGGAGATCGACAGACCTCTTTTGTAGATACGCAAGCAATTCTGCTGGAGTAGCATCCGGGGCACTCTGAGCAGTCAAAGGGGGTGGTGTGCCAAAAGCCGGAAACTGAGTAGATGGATTTGTCACGGCTGCCGCAGGCACAGGCGTCGCACCCTGCGTGGGCACCATTCCCAAAGCAGGTGCGCTCATATGAGCACTCTGAGGCATCCACGGTGGCGGAGTGGTTGGCGGTGGCACAGGAGGTCCAACAGGATATCCAAGAGCCGGATACGGGAACTGTGGAAAGGGCTGCAATTGACCGTAAGGTCCAAAATCGGCACCTTTGCCTCCTTGAACTTTGCGAGGCGACTTCGGCTTTGGACTTTTGTGCCGAGGAGACTTCGCTCTTCGTGCATCCTGATGCCCTTGTTGAAATTGTCCGCCATGATATCCACCCCAATTCTGCGGTGGTTGTGCGTGCTGTCCTTGTTGCTGTTTCACACCATGTACATAGTTCCGATCTATCACTGCCTGCCAAGGCATCTGACAGCGAGGGCAAAAAGCCATGGAGCTTTTGCATAGCTGTCGACAGCTTAGGCATTTCCATGGAGGATTGCTCATAGCTGACATGGTCTTGGTAATTGTTCTGATCAAATGTAGATCTTTGGAATGATGGGTGCTTAGCTTCGTCCGAAGATCGAGCAGCTGAGACCTCGTGAGTAAAGACACCGATCTTGTGTAAATGCCACTTCAACCGTGCACGTGCCCTCTGCCGGCGTTGGGTACGCCTTGTCGAGGAATTGGCCGTGATGAAATGCAGACAAAGGTGTCAAATCACTAAAGGTCCACCCAAAAGCAAATGGGATCGGGATCACAGCGATCAGAATCAAAATCCGGAAGAGAAAGAAAAATGCCAATGACATACACAGCAAAGAGGACAAAGAGGTCCAAAAGGTTCCCAAAGTAGAACACCAGCGCGTAGCAGATCAGTGTCTACCAACCCGAGAGTTAAGGTGTCGGGACACCAGCAAAAGAGAAGTCACCAACTAGTCCAATGCACGACGAGGGAAACCCGCGGCTATTGCAAACCGCTAAGTTCGACGGGTAAGCTGAAAAGGGGGGAGCTTGACCCGAGACACTTATGTGTTAATATATGTTAATAAATCTTAATATATGTTAATATATGTTAATATATGTTAATATATGTTAATATATGTTAATAGATTATAACCAGATTGTTTCCACCTTTTCCCGGCCTTTTCCCTCGTCTTTTTGCAGGTCTGGCTGGACGTCTGTCGGACGCTGGATGAGCTGGGCGACTTGGAACAATGTGCGGCGCCTTGGGGGACTCACCTGGGACTCACCTGGGACTCACCTGGGACTCACCTGGGACTCACCTGGGGATGGTGGTTATAAAACCCATGGAAAACCCATGGAAAACCTATGGAAAACATACAAAAACCTATGGAAAATCACCATTTTTACTATGGAAAATATATGGAAAATCACCATGGAACCATATAAATTTCATGGTAAACATACAAAAACCTATGGAAAATCAATTTTTACTAGGTCAATCAACCATAAATGGCAATGTTGAATGGCTATGTTGAATTAGCCAGATGGTAGATATGGGGGTGGTCCTAAAATGAAGGCAAACATGGATGGTTTATTTCATGGAAAATCCTATTGAATCGGATGATTTAGGGGTACCCCCATGAATTGGAAACCTCCATTAATATACTGTGTATATATATATATCATATAATACAGGTATACATATCGGATATATCATATATGGAACATGGGAAGACCATATTCTAAGCATCAATGAATTGGACGGAAAATTTTGATCGGAAATTATGGATTTAAACCCAACATTAGTAAGGTATCGTGCATATGTTCCGCATATTTTCCCAATGCCAGTAGGAATTGAACCAAATGAAAACAATCGTGAACAGTGCATTTTCAACAGCAGATTTGTCCAGTAGTATGGCCAGACATATGAATATTATGAATGTCAGGAGTCAAGCGGGATCATGCTGATTGTTGGATGGAAGAATAACAGGAAAACCGTTCCAAGACATGTTGGAAAACATGGATGATGCCAGATCTGAATAGTGAGAAAGTTGGGTAGTTCGGAAGCGAGCATGAGGAGAAAACAAATGGGCATCAGAAGCAACAAACACGGGAAAGTGAAGGAAACAATAAGCAGAGACAAACGTAATGCAGAACCTGTCTGAAGATGAATGGATCTGGCAGACTATTGAAATTCACCAAGCTGAGATAAAGTGATAAAGGCGGAGGTTCACCTTACTTACCATCGCTTACTGTACTCGTCGTTACAATTCATTGGTGATCGTCCTAAAAAATTGGCCTTCAGACTTCCCTCAAGTGAAGTCTGAAGGCCATTGGGGTCCTTGATTCAACGGAAAATGGAAAAACATATACAGGATGGGACCCCCAAGATAGCTATATAAGTTGCCTTATAAGTGGCTGAATTCTATGGTTTATGGTAGATATAACGAACTAGCTAAACGGGGTTATTTCATGGTTTAACTGGGGCTTCCCATCCTGTTGGGATTTCGTCATCAAGCAACCCTCCTTAAATACGGCAAAGGATTTGGCCTGATTTAGCCATGAAAAAAAAAGGTGAAAGATGTCATCAAAAATGTTCGGAGTTAACCAGCAAAAACGGGTGATTTAATCATAAATAATTGGGATTTAACCATAAAAAAATGTGTTTTAATCATGAAAAATGGTGCTTGAACAGCTTGAACATGGTTTTTCACCAGAAAAATCCGGTGCCTTAGGTATCAAAATCTGGGATTCAAGCCATTTGGTTCAACCACCAGGGATGTAAGAAATGAATACAGGCTATGTAGGTTTGTCTATAAACGTCAAGACCAGATAATGCAAAAATTAGGGGATTATATAAACCAGCCAAATTTGAGGATTTTACAATTGAACGCATGGCATTTGGGTTTGTCTCAATATATGTCAGATAGAATGCCAGATAAAATGTCAGAACATATGCCAGATAGAATGTCGGAATATGTTTCACATAGAGTATAAGATAAAATGTCAAATAGAATGCAAGATAGAATGCCAGACAAAATGTCAGAAAACAACCAGCTAGAATGCGAGAATATATTTCAGATAAAATGTCAGAACATATGTCGGAATATCTGTCAGATAGAGTCTCAGAATATGTTCGCAGATAGAATGTCAGATAGAAGAGCAGAATATATGTGAGATAAAATGTCAGATAGCATGCCAGAATGTATGTCAGATAAGATATCAGATAGAATGTCAGGATATTTGCTACTGCTGGGATCACACGAAGTAATTTGTTTGGTGTTTTTCGTCGTTGTCCGCTGACTTTGTCAATCATTTTTTGTTAATTGTCCGAGGTCGGTTCTTGCTTGAACGAGCACTGGAATGTTGCCCTTCCACAGACCTGTTGGCACTGAGATTTGTGCGCAGGGTGACGACCTGGGTGACGGATGCAGCTATTTATACTGCAAACAATTGATATGGATTAACTTGTTTTCAACTAGGGCAACTGAAACTTTACATGGATATATCTATAGCTGAATAGGTGGAACCAAACAATTTTTCGACTTTGGGGGCCCTTCCTATTCCTGTAGTCATCAAAACAATTGCAACCTGTTTGTGGAAAGATTGGAGGAATGAACTCATTAGGTCTTGTTTGTTTCTTATGAGGAATTTCCACTTTCCAAACAAAACTGGGTTACGACGATCCCCTCGAAGATTCGCAGTTATTTCGACAACTGACGGTTATTTGATGGTGGCCAAGTCCCATCAATTCTGGTGTACATTTCATGAAACCGATCAAAGTTTGTGTTAAGATCAGATTTGGGATCTATCAATCTAATATTTATTGCGCAGTCTTCAGAAAAATGTCAAGAATCCAAACCCACTTTCAAGCATTGAACACGTCTTTTGGTCCTCAACTGAAAATACAGTATGGGTCAAAAACCTCAGATTTTTTAAGCCAGACTGCAACAACAACACTCCCCAGTTTGAAAACATGATTTACTCTAGCGTACCCTCCGGTAAACTAACATAACTATGGAAAATCACCATTTTTACCAGGTAAATCAACCATAAATGGCAATTTTCAATAGCTTTTTGTATGTTTACCAGAGGGTAAACGTCTACAGTTCGATGTGGAAAAACCCCCATGGTTTCCTGTTCGGAACATGATCTACAAATGCTGGTGACAATTCCACATGGATTTGTCGGATAAAACCCTAGGGGAAAACATCCCCACACAGCAATGCAGTCCTACGGCCACAGGTACGAGTTCTGGAACGTTTGGGGGACATCGAGGTACCATCGGGTTTGGACGCTGATCATGCCTAATATAGCAAATATATAATGTATAAACGTCCGCGAAAAAAACAATAGCAGGTGTTGACAATTGAAATGGTCCAAATGGCATACTCTGCATGATTTGAAGCTACCAGATTTGAATATCTGGGATAATTGATTTGATATGATCAATTAGGTGGTCACAAGCTTTGATGGGAAATGATCCACAGTAGTTTGATGTTTGTTTCAGACTTCAGCACCTATCCAGAGGGTATGACCCACGGTACTGGTCACAAGGAGAGTTAAGTGCCATCATCTCAGAGGATAAATCTTGGTGAAGGATATTGTGATAGAATTTACTGGTTTGCTGTTAGTGATAACTGATTGGTGGTTTGGAACATGACTTTTATTTTTCTATATATTGGGAATAATCATCCCAACTGACTAATATTTTTCAGAGGGGTTGAAACCACCAACCAGATACTATCCTAACCAGACCAACCCAAACAATATATTTAATGGTCATCATGGTATATCATGGTCTCAATCGGATTGACTACTGTATATTAAATGGTATGATTCGGTATGATGCAAAACCAAGATTTGCTCCAACACTTGCAGGAACTAGTAGTAATCCATGCTGGTTCTCAGATGATCTACCCTCTGGTAATGACTAACATAGCTATTGAACATGGCCCAGTCAAAATAGTGGATTTACCCATTAATAGCATGGTGATTTTCCATAGCTATGTAAACGTTTACCAGATGGTACCACTGTGCAAGGCCATGAGGCAGCTGGTTGGCGGCATGCGCGCAGAACCAGTCGAACGTACTCACAAGGTGCGATCTCTTACAGAGACCTGAGAAATGGAGCAAGCGCAGGCCGCCTAAGAACAACGTGGTACCATGGTACTATATGGTACAGACCTTAACTGGTTGGTGGTTTGGAACATTTTGTTTCCATATATTGGGAATAATCATCCCAACTGACTTTCATATTTTTCAGAGGGATAGGTATACACCAACCAGTTAAAATAGCTGGCTTTTATTAACAGTTATTCCCGCAGTCATATGGGACTAATAGGTCTTGACCCATCCCCCAATCTCACGGAAAATTACAGATCTCAATTGACACCATTTCCAAGAAAAATGGTCTGTTCTGAAAGCATCCAACAGTGTTGTTTTACTCCAATTCTAACATCCAAACAAAGTTTTACCGGCTATTTTTGGGCGAGGTCGAGTTGTTTGATATCCATAAAAAAAAAAACCGGACCGGATGGGACCATCCGAACGATGAATCAAAATTCGTTGGGGGGAAAACAAACAGCAACAAAAAGCTGAGATCCGACTCCAAAGTAGCCACATGTTTATCTCTGGTAAACTAGCATAGCTATGGAAAATGGCCCATTTACCTATTAAAAAGGGTGTTTTTCTATAGCTATGTTAGTTTACCAGAGGGTATCTCTGGAATCTGGGAATCTGGAAGATCCTGAGCTTCCGGAGATAGGTCGACCAGTTAGAATCCCAGATGTTGCATGTCTGCCAACTCACTTGGTGGAGACGGTTTCACAACTGATTTTCTGGATGTGACACAGAAAAGATGAGGATGGCATGGATGGCATGGATGGCTCGAGATCCACTGTCACATCCAGGATATTCAAGGATCATACTTCACCTGGTTGGTGGTTTGGAACATGACTTTTATAACTTTCCATATATATATATTGGGAATTTCATCATCCCAACTGACGAACTCACTCCATCATTTTTCAGAGGGGTAGGTTGAAACCACCAACCAGAAATCATCGAAATCAGCTTCATTCAATGGCCATTTCAGGAACCTAAATTGGAGGTACCTACCATATGTAAAGCCTATACTTCAGGCCTATGTAAGGGAATATCCCCACAAAATATGGCCAAACATATGGTACTAACGTACCTCCATTTTAGGATCCTGTTTTATTCCCATTGATAGTAGAAACAGGTGGTTTCCAAAAGATATGGGTAACCCCATCAATCCTATTATTCCACATATATTCCACATATATTCCCAAATATGATTGGAAAATTTGAAAAGAGTCCATTGGTTGTCCCTTGGTAAATCCACCCTTAAGACGTGGCCAGGTCCTCATCGAGGCCGTCCACGCAGAGGCTGCTGTGAGTCATTGGGCCTAGGGGTTTGATGTTGGGCAACATCCAAAGATCTACCCTCGGGTAAACATACAAAAAGCTATTGATTAATGACTGGTTAATAATGGTTAATAATGATTATATAATGGTGAATAATGATTAATAGTGATTAATGGTGATTAATGGTGATTAATGGTGATTTACCCGGCCTGGTAAACTAACAGTTTGCGAACTTGAAAATGGCCCAGTCGAAATAGTGGATTTATCATATATTTATCCATTAATAGCATGGTGGATCTTTCCATAGTTATGTAAACGTTTACCAGAGGGTATGATCATCTATGTGGGTAAGGATTAACATGATGAAAACTAATATGAAAACTTATCCTTGATTTATTCATGTATGCAATATGTTGAAAACAATACCCTCTGGTAATTTAACATAGCTATTGAAAATGGCCATAGAAATAGTTGATTTTCCCATTAAAAATTGTGATTTTCCATAGCTATGTTAGTTTACCAGAGGGTAACATCCATAAATCCCAGCTATTTTGATGTTTACATCGGGCCCTCAGGGTTTCACATGGTTTCACTGCCTGGGATGTGACAGATGTGACAGGTGCGGGCTGGCAACGGTGAGGCAGCCAGGGCCATCATGCTCCTCAGATCGCCATAAGTTGCCGAGTTCAAAAGAGAACAATTTTCTTCTGGCTATTATTGACATTGATAGAAAAATAATAGACAAATAATAGTATACATCAATAATAATAATAATAATAGTTCAAAATAGAACAATTCTTCTGCATCAATAATAGTACATCAAGCAGAATGGGGCTATTGTTGACATTGATAGAAAAACAAGCAAAACTATTGGCAACGGAATGTTCGAAGAGAGGCCGGAGGACCAGGACTCGCGGCTGGCTGATTTGCAGGTTGAATTTGTGAGAAAATATGGTACCCCAACATTCCATGATCTACAACTGCTTGGTGGTTTAATGATGTTTAAGGATGGTTATATAATGGTTAATAATGATTAATGATGGTTAGTAATGATGGTTAATGATGGTTAATGATGGTTAATGATGGTTAATGATGGTTAATGATGGTTAATGATGGTTAATGTCTGCTTGGTGGTGACTGGAACATGTTTTTATTTTCCATTTCATACATGGGATGTCATCCTTCCCATTGACTTTAACTCCATCATTTTTCAGAGGGGTAGGGCTCAATCAACCACCAACCAGATATATATATATATTTATATCCCATTATAGTCCTTATATCCCATGATAGTCCCATTAAACCATATTAAACCACCATTTTGATGTCACTGAAATGGCCATTGATTCAATGAGTTTTCGAAGTAAACCCGCAGAAAACCAGGGCGAATCTCAGCATCAACTGGTCACACTTTTCCTGGTCCCACCAGGTGACCTTCCTGGAGGTGCTTTGCCATACAATCTGGGTAAATTTGATCACGACCTCACTGTTCTCCCTCACTGGAATTATGGTTAGTAAGGGGAATCATCCCCCCAATGGTCTTATTTCAGGTTAGTGAAATATTATAATTTACCAAGATACAATAATAGCTCACCCGTTTAATGATGGTTATATAATGGTTATATAATAGTTAATAATGGTTAATAATGGTTAATATATGATTGGTGGTTTGGAACATCTTTTATTGTTCCATATATATCCATATATTGGGAATAATAATCCCAACTGACTAATATTTTTAAGAGGGGTTGAAACCACCAACCAGATAGGGTCTATTAAGGGAATCATAACCGGCATAACCATTCACAAACACAAGAAAGGACTGGTTTGTGTAAAACCATACTTGATTGTGATATTTCTGTGTACAGGCATAGACGCAGCTTATATCTGAGATACCTCATACAGCACGCAGTTGGTCTGTTTATCCATCTCGTTTGTTGCCAAATAGTTTGTCAGATTGTGTTTTTTGTGACTTCGTCCATGAACATGTCAAAGATATTTGGTTTATCAGTGCATGTATCATAGAAACATTTACCCTCCAGTAAAGTAATATAGACCCTGGCAGATAGGGGTTAAAAGATTAGTTTCCACTAGAAAATGTCTATTTTCATGATCTATATTACTTTACCAGAGGGTACCCTCTGGTAAACTAATATAGCTATGGAAAATGGGTGATTGATATTTGGTGTACCTATATAACATGGTGATTTTCCATAGCTATGTTAGTTTACCAGAGGGTACAGGATGGGGCCCCCAGTCGATAGCGTTCAGTTGCCTTATCAGTGGCTGAATTCTATGGTTTATGGTAGATACAACGAACTAGTTTATGGGGCTTATGAACTACCCTCTGGTAAATTAACATAGACCCTGAAAATAGGCTAGTTTCAATGGAAACTCATCTTCCAACCCCTATCTAAGATCTATCTGCCAGGGTCGAACTGTTAATTCACCAGAGGCTAACTTATAACTGGGGGGAGGGCCATCCTGTCTAAATCATGGTAAACTAACAGTTCGCTATGGAAAATCACCATGTTATATAGGTACACCAAATATAAATCACCTATAAATATAAATCACCTACAAATATAAATCACCTATAAATCACCTATAAATCACCTATGGTACAGCAAATATAAATCACCTATAAATCATGACCAAATCTCCCATAACTTGCCCCATCCGGCTTCGCGCCGGTTCGCCGGTCCCAGGCAATGCATCCTGAAGCGCTTGCCGCAGCAGGGACCTATCTACTGCGAGGCGCGCCGTTCGCGAACCGCGCTTCGCCGCTAGGAGCGTAGCTCGTTTTTAAGGAACATCCGTTGACCCGTTATGGACCAACAAAACCCAAAAAACAAGTATAAAAAGTAGCTGATTGGTGGTTTGGAACATGACTTTTATAACTTTCCATTCAGTTGGGAATGGAAAATCATTCCAACTGACTTTCACTCCATCATTTTTCAGAGAGGTAGGTTGAAACCACCAGCCAGGTAGGGAAATGAACATAATAAAAGCACATATTTGGGACGATTTACCCTCTGGTTATTTAACATAGCCATGGTATAGATGGCCCAAATATAGATGGTTTACCTACGACAAATGGTGAATCTTTCCATGGCAAACTGTTAGTCATAACCAGAGGGTAGGAGGTTTGTGGTAAGAGGATGGGATTGTGGGGAATGGTCATCAATCCATGGATGGGAAATGCTGCGATGACCGCGATGACCATGACTCTCGAAACCATGGTTTTGGCCATTGGGCCATGGCATATTTAAGTGGTGTTTAAACTTCTAACCCACTTATAAATGGGATAAACCGATAAACCTACCTCGGGACTTGCTAACCAAGGTGATTACCCAGCTAATCATGTAAGTGGATCCTCCAAGTAGTTGCTCATCTATGATTGTTCAATATTTTTCATCATGGCATGACCTGATTTGGGTTGATTTTGGGCAATCTAGATGCATGGTTTTCACAATCAAAGATTGTAGCCAGTATTTCTTAGCATGAATGTGTTGTTGTTTGTTTGGAGGATGTCTTTACAAATACAAGAATCTGGCGTTAGCCGTTAGCCTTGCGGATCTATGTCCAGCCTCGTTCCAGCCTCGTTCCAGCCAAACTTGCGCAGATGAAGACATGATTGGAGGTACCTACCATATATAAGGCCTATTTTTCAGGCCTATGTAAGGGAATATCCTCCCAAAATATGGCCAAACATATGGTACGTTTACGTACCTCCATAAATTGGATCCTGGAGATCTCCCATTGATTTTCAGTAGGAACTGATGGCAAATCCACTGGGGAATTCCCGCTGGCTTCAGATTTCATCTGATTTCATCGAAGAAGATCTGTAAATTCGTTCCAGATCACTTTCCGAACACCCCAGCAATTTCCGAAGACCTGGTTTTACGCAATTGCCAGGCTTGCCGTGTGGAGAGCATTCTGGGGCATTGGCAAGCAGCTGTGACCCAAGATCCCAAAGATGCCCAGCTGGAAGTTGGAGAATTCCATGACTAAGTTGGATTAGTCTAGATGTAGTAATCTCTAGTATTTTACGTATATCTACAACTGAGTCTATAGTAAATAATAAATATATGTAACTGATTGGTGGTTTGGAACATTTTTTATTTTCCATATATATTGGGAAGAATCATCCCATTTGACTAATATTTTTCGGAGGGGTAGGTCTACCACCAACCAGTATAGTATTATATATATATACATCTTAAGTCCTACTTATAAACCAACTTAGCCAACTATCGGGGAGCCCCCGAATACTCCTTGGTAATCCTGATGCGAAATCCCGACCCCATATGTTTGTCCCCCCAACACTCAAAACCACAGAAAACATAGGGGATGAATCAAACCCTTTGAAATACAATACTGGTTGGTGGTTTCAAACATTTGACTAATTTTCCATAATATATGGGATTTCATCCTTCCCATTGACTTTCATATGTTTCAAGATGGGCACATTGCACCACCAACCAGATATATTATTCATTAGATCAGGTATTAATCGCCAATAACCACTATTAACCACTATTAACCACTATTAACCACTATTAACCACTATTAACCACTATTAACCACTATTAACCACTATTAATCACTATTAACCACTATTAACCACTATTAACCACTATTAATCACTATTAACCACTATTAACCACTATTAATCACTATTAATCACTATTAACCATGGTTATTGCACCACCAACGATGGAAAATGGTGGGGGAAACATCCAGCAATACCAACTATTTTGATGCTTTCACAGATAGGCTGAACTGACCCTCATAGATTGATAACCCCCATGGCTTTGTTTGAAAATCGGGCATCCTCAAATTACCAGACATAGCTATTGACCGAAAAAGGTGATGAATGGTGAACAATGGTTAATAGTGATTAATGGTGATTAATAGTGATTAATGGTGATTTATCCGGCGTGGTAATGACTAACAGTTTGCGAACTTGAACATGGCCATTGAAAAAGTTGATTTTCCCATTAATAGCATGGTGGATCTTTCCCTAGTTATGTAAACGTTTACCAGAGGGTAATCAACATCGTCCCGGCTAAATGACCAGATGTTCAATGGGAACATCATCTAGAAATGCGAGGAGTTGTCATTGCAATGTTCGATCCCACTAGATCTAAGGCGCTCGAGACGGCAGAACAAGGTGTACAGTGCAGCTCTTAGCGTTTCCCCTGGCAGACGATGGCAGGTCAGCAGAAATTTCATCCATGGACTGTTTTTTTCCAAAGGTATTGTGTATATAGCTTTGAAGGGGAAAAAATAAGGAAACCCAAAACAAAAAAGGAAGTTTCACTGTTGATTTTTGTTTCCAACATATAATGTGTTCTGTAAAAAATGTTCCTCAAACCGTTAATGTAGACGGATGATCATCACAATGATTTTCAACATTTTTCAACGAAGGGCTGGTAATACACGTATGATTATACGTCCACGTGCAATATGATTAGGCCAGCTGAAGGACCAACCACAGCTAAGTATCGGTGCCAGCTGGTGGTTTCATCATTTGGTCAAGCACAGGCTGTGACCATGTTGTGGGCCATAAACTGTTCATGTAGATGAATCGAGTTTGGGAGTTGCATTTGCAGCAGAAAACTTGATGGTCGCATCCCAGTTTGGCAAATTTCCGCGAGATGCGCCAATGACACATCCTTCAGGGTGGAAACAATCTTTCATGTGGGTGATTGCAGCAGCTGGTATCACTAGAATCCACACTTCACCAGAGGTACATAAATGATCATAAATGTGTTATGTACATGTCCCATCTTGATGATTTGCCCCATCACCTATCGGACCTATCGTTTGCTCTCAGAGAATTTCCCCCATAGTCGGATTCAATCATGGATCAAGACTCTGCCGACTCCGCCAAGCATTGACTGCTGCCTGGCAAAGGATTTGCCCGAAATATGGGCCTCTTTGGTTCTCACCTCAGTTCTGATAGGTCTTGGATTCCGTTGAATTCCTCACCCAACTCATAGGGAAGATGGCAAAGACTCGAACAAACAGGAATGTGGCCAACACAAATTGTCATTTAACTCATACACATTGTCAAGGGCCTGGAATGGTCCGCAAATATATATATATATACATATATACATATATATATATATGTACATATATATATATGTATATATATATGTATATATAGATTACATATAGATATGTGAATCAACGATGATTTTACTGGCAAGAAGTGTGGCTTTTGCAAGAATCTTACACCAGCTTCGGGATGTAGCAATGTAGCACCCATGAGAATGTTCAATTGCAAGTTGTGGGGAGAAAAAATCCGAGGTTTGTGCTCCTGCGTCAAGCCGAGAAACTCCATGGAGCAGCGGCCGTGAAGTTCGGGGCCTTGGTGGACAGCCTGTCAAACATGGCTTGCTGGAAAATCCATGAAAATCCCATATAAATAAGGTCTTTAAATGGGAAAACTATCTATAAATGGTTGGTGGGTGTTCAACTGCCATGCTTGCTTACCGGAGGGTATATACCCATATATACCCAAGTGGAGAACCATAACACAAAGAAACCCAAAGCCGATGTAACCGTGATTTGTGGTGGAATTATGTGCAGTTGGATGTACCAACTCAACTACGGAGTCCTCTTTGATCTCTCTGCGTTGAATTATAGATATGACTCTATGACCAAGTAAAACCATGCACGCATGTAGAAACCCGCAATAGAATATCATTTGGGGTGGGGTTGGGGTGGCGTGGGGGTAATAACTTTCATGTCAACTTGAACACACATGGATTGTATATGATTGTATGGTGTGCATCGCAATAGAATATGCATCTGGGTCATTTGGGGTGGGGTTAGGGTGGGGTGGGGTGGGGGTAATAACGTTCATGTCAACTTGAAAATATGTCATGCTACGCTGTGGGACCTTCTCTTGCACTTGCACACATACGTCATGCTACGCTGTGGGATCTTCTCTTGCACTTGCACTATGCATATTTGTGTTTGGGGGGTGGGGGATGGGGTGGGGTGGGGCATGTTAACGTTCCATGAACTTCAACTTTGTCAATGTTACATTCGTGCAAACAGTCAGAAGTCTGTTCCAAGAATTCAAATTATCGATGTTTCGTTCCATGATTCAGCTAAGATATCCTACTGGTAGATATCAAAAACGTTGGGAAAAACCATGAAAAAACAATATCCAAATGCTTGCGGAACATTCAGCTCAACTAAACATCAGAAATCCAAAACTAAGACGTCACAGAAACCACTGCGGGTTTCTATGTGCGTGCAGCCTAAAACAAGTATACAAAGGGATCCAAAGGAGCGTAGAGCTCAGAAAAATAAAGATTAGTTTCACCAGTAACAAGGAAGCTTGAACCTTGAACCAGATCGGAATTGAATCAATCCTAATTGGTGTTTGACAAAAGCAACTCCGAGGCTTTTTGTTCGTGAAGGATATATTGCCAAGAACCCCGAGATATGTTGGTAATTTTTGGTGCCTCTAAGGCCGGATACAAACTGTACGATGGCTCTGTGAGAAAGTCCATCATGAGACATTACCAGTGGATTATTTATATATATCTATATATATATCATGGAACCAACTGGTTTCAGGAAGAACAACGGCTAAAGGGTCAGCAAGCCAGAGTTTCAGAACAATCCATCAATAGGCCCGCAAGCTTTGAATGCCAGCTGTTTTCTTAACAGTATGGTTGATGGATGTTGGTGAAATTCCTGGTTCATGCAAAAAAACATTAAAAAACACAGGTAGAACATGTTGTCTGACAGTTGTGTTCTTCTGGGCCCTAGACCCATCCCACTTCCTATCTTGGAAGACTCAACTGGACAGCCTTGTGCGCCAGGGAGTATGCGCCAAGCGCCATTGCAAGCATTTGCAGTGAACTGCATTGGAAGATACACTTTGAGGTTCGGAACGGAACCGGGCTGATCCGCACGCACCGTGCGCCAGGTTCCTGAAATTTCCTCAATAAATTTGGGATGCAAAGAAGATCATTAGGCCCATCAGCAAGTGCGGGTGCTTTGAAAGGACAAGAGGAACATCATATTTAAACATATTCTGGTTGGTGGTTTGGAACCATGGAATTTTCTAACTTTCCATTCAGTTGGGAATGGAAAATCCTCCCAACTGACTTTCACTCCATCATTTTTCAGAGCGGTAGGGCTCAACCACCAACCAGATGGTTATACTCTGGTAAACTAACATAACTATGGAAAATCACCATGTTTAATGGGAAAACTCACTTTTTCTATGGCCATGTTCAATAGCTTTTTGTATGTTTACCAGGCCGGGTACCAAGCAGTATTTCCACCATCATTCAATTATTCATTAGATCAGGTATTAATCACTAATAACCACTATTAACCACTATTACCCTCTGGTAATTTAACGTAGCTACTGAAAATGGTCAGTTATAGTGGATTTACCCATTAATAATGGTGATTTTCTATAGCTACGTTAGTTTACCAGAGCGTAATCGCTATGAATCCATGGCTATTGCACCAGCATCATTCAATCACTGGAGGCACCCCATGAGAACAGATTTACCGATCCCATAGGCCGAGCTGCCCGGGCAGCTCTGGAGTTTGGAACTTCCAGAGTCTCGAAAAGTAGGATGCCACACCAAACAAAAGCATGGATTACAATGATTCACAATCCATAATATATGGGATAATCCTTCCCATAGACTTTCATATGTTTCAAGATGGGCACATTGCACCACCAACCAGAAAATGTTTGGGGAAATATCCCAGTAAACTAACAGTTTGCTATGGAAAATGGACCATAGAAATAGATGATATATGATGATATAGCTATTAGAAATGGTGATTTTCCAGAGCTATGTTAAATTACCAGAGGGTAAGAATCCACAAATGGAGACATTGCTGCTTGGGGTTGGATCCCAGTTGGTAAATAGATCATAACCATAGAAGAAGCATATAAAACTGCGATTAGTTGTCAAACCCCATGTTGATGTTGACAATCCACTTTTTTCTTGGTACCTAACCTTGATCCAAATCCCTTCAAGTGCCAGTGACAGTGTGATCTATCATGGCTAATGGACATGGATGCCTTGTTAGGATTCGTCATGATGGTCACTATATGATCATTATAGTAGTGTATAGTATTGTATTGTATTCAATACGAACTCCTGAATGATCTTTATTGTCAACATAGTTTATATATGTTTATATCAGAATATTATATATATATCACAGCCCACTGCATGTATGCAAGACATTGGAAGGTTCGACTTTGTTTTATGTCCTTCCCCGGCCGGGATGTTCATGGGTTTTCCAGAACCAAACACAGAATTGTACATCAAAAAAAAGCACCTGCTCCCTGGCAAACTCAGGGTTTCTATTATGTAATAGGGGATGGGATGCACAATAAAGCATCCTCAGTACTGGTGGAACTGGGTATACCCCTGTTTGGGATGATTTATGTCATAATTTCATACAAAGTGGGGCCCCCTAGATAGCTAAGTTGGTTTATAACTCCAATAACTATGGTTTATGGTACCTATAACTATAGTTAATGGGGTTTATAAACCAACTTATAACTGGGGGGCACCATCCTGTAGCCCCTCCACTCCGGTTGATGGTTGTGGATGGTTTCATGTATGGCATCGCGTCTCCAGGTCGCTACTGCCTGCAGCCGTCAAGGAGCACTGCCGCAGTGTGGGACCAAGGGTGAAACTGGCCATCTATGGCCACGGCAACCCGGGCGAACCTTGGATGGCTGCCCTTCAATAATCAAAGATGGCAATGGGAAATCCCCTATACCCTCTGGTAAACTAACATAGCTATGGAAAATCACCAGCTTTAATAGGTAAATCAACTATAAATGGGCCATTTTCAATAGCTATGTTAAATTACCAGAGGGTACATGGGCTTTGAATAGGAAAATCATCCATAAATTCGGTGATTTTCGCCATGTTTGGCTACTGGCTGGCAGTTTCATACATTAATCTTCCCCCAGAAATGTTAAGCAACCAGCCAATAGATCAAACATATTCAAAACATGTGCTGTTACTGGATGTCTAAGATTGGCCTTGTAAACACGATATAATCACAGGTGAAAGTTGGAGGCACCATGTTTTCAGTGGCAATTTAGCCAGGAAGATTTGCGATTTCACCACTGAAAGATGACACATTTTTGCCACCGCTAATATTTAAAGCAACACACATCGGTGTTGAACGAACAAAAATGGGGATACCTTCCCATAATCAAACAAGTCGAGGAAATCCTTGAGCTATATTTCCATGATTTTCCCATTGAAATGCCGGTTGAGTTCGAGGAGTTCTTGGGATCTCCCAAAAAGGGCGATCTAAGGTGCCGGCAAAGCATCGGAAGAGCTGCGTTGCAGTGCCCCAGGTGCCTGGACTCGACGTGGCTTTTGCACCACGATGCGGTTTTGTCAGCGAAGCGGCAAACAAGGGGATTTTGGTCAATTTATCACTTCAATGTGTAATGGGAATGCAAATGCTTATGCTTTATGAGGATTTCTGAACAGTAGTATGTGATATGTTTACTATGTATGAATAAATTGTAACGACCTCAATATGTGTCAATCCAAAAAAACTCGTTGATTTCAGCAACGACAATTGAGGATTGAAGGCGCGAGCTGTTCACCAACTGAGTTGCTAAGGCATTTGCGGTGGAAGGTGTGGCTGCTGGCTGCAAGGTGCAGCATGCGGGCTGCATGTGACAGGACTCAATTTGACATAGCTGAACCCACCAAGATGGTTCATATTCCATATATTCCATGGTGCCATCTTCCAGCTCGGAATTTTCGGAGGCTGTTTGGGTGTGGCTAAAATATGTCACAATACACACAAGAAACAGTTTGTCCTGAAAATGAGGTGCCCTCAATTCCAATATATTCAATTCTAAGGATTGTCATCATTTCCCCATTGACTATAAGTTGTGTATTTATTTTCAGTCAGACCCAAAATCCAAGATTCATGGAATAAATCCATATTTGTTGAATGCTGGTTGGTGGTTTGGAACATTTTTTCCATTTATTGGGAATTTCATCATCCCAATTGACGAACTCATATTTTTCACAGGGTTAGGTATACCGCCAACCAGATATATTATTCATTAGATCAGGTATTAATCACCAATAACCACTATTAATCACTATTAATCACTATTAATCACCAATAACCACTATATTTATATCCCATTATAGTCCCATTAAACCATATTAAACCACTTATGTCCCATTATAGGTCCCATTATATCCCAATTTTTGATGGGTTAAATCCCATCAAAATTGGGTCTATAGATCTGCCAATGACCCGCCACTGCGACAGGGCTGAGCTCTGGGAGGGTTCGGCGGATGCGTGTCGAAGGCACGGTGCCCGCGCGCAGTTTCATCTTCGTCACTGGCTATATATACCTTTAAAAATGGTGTTTTTACTCATAGTTTTAGTATGTGTTTAGTATGTTTACCTTTTTTTTTGGATATTTGGAGGGTCTAGCCTTCTGGTAAACTAACATAACTATCGAACATAACCATGTTTTCTGGTAAATCAACCATAAATGGCAATTTTCAATAGCTATGTTAGTTTACCAGAGGGTAGTTTTAGTACTTTAACCATTTTTGTGTGATATCTGGAGGGTCTAGGTATGTCTAGGTAGTTGCTTTATGTGATTTTCTCACTTCTAGCGAACTCTTTGCCAATGTTGGCTACGTCACATCGATCATCCTGAAGTTAAAACACAATCTTGGTTTCTTTGCAGTCTGATTAGTTGCTATTGCTATATGTTTGACTAAAGTTTTCTTAGCAACATCTACCAATGTGTTTGGGCAGAAAGTATAACGACCTCACAGTGACCCCACCAAAGCTGATGGTTGGGGGCAACCATCCCAAACTTCCAGGTGAGTCCATGCCAATGCTTCAAAAATCTCAAGCCATGTGGGATGCCAAACCTGGATGATCAGTCAGCGAAACGTGCAGCATCCAAACATCCAAAACATATCCCATTTTAGCATCCATTTGGATGATGCAAACATATTATCGATTTACTTACAGGAAATTAGAGTAATGTGTTTAAAACAATCATAAACCCATGACTGGGGATTCTTTAAAATACCTATCCATAGTAAAACTCCATTAAAAACCCATGGTTTCCTGTACATGTGATTCTTTAAAATACCTAGACCCATCGTAAAAATGCCCTGAACAAAAACCCGATGCTTTCCTGTAGATCTTCCGCTGAAAGTCGATCCCAGGCTTCTGGCGCAAGCGAGGATCGATGCTCCCAGCCGGATGCAGGCGCGAATCACTCTGACAGCCGAGTCATGGATGGTGATTTTTCGTATTGAAAGCTACAAGGTGGGGCCCCCGTTCGAGAACGCTAAGTTGGTTGTTTATAACTCCAATAACTATGGTTTATGGTAGATATATCAGATATTTATCAATATTTACTATGGTTTATAAACCAACTTAGAAATCTTGGGGGGGCACAACCTTGTATGGTTCAAACGGGATCCCCCATGACTGAAGAAACCTCCAACTAAAGAAAATATCGATAATCTGGGTTTTTCATGGGACCATTGAGGAATTGTGAAACATCCTCATCCTCAAAATGAGACATTCAATTGAAATGGAACTTCACCATCATTGATAGTGGTTTTTATGGGGATTAAGCTATCAGAAATACGCGGATGATTGATAAATGATGGCTCATTAGTTCCTATAGGGACTTATACTACCTGGTTTGTGACATAAGCCATATTATACATAATAGGACCATAGGAATATTTACAAACCAGCCAGTATGTTTGGGGATTAGGGTTTTTTTTATCATGGTTCAAATGGGTATCAAACTCCAGTGCCAAAATTGGTATATGTCCATTGTATGGCCATCAAAAACAAGATCGGCAAAATATCACAATAGTGACAAACTCTTCTATGAGAACAATTTCTATAAATTTGGGTTAATAAAACAAGATTAGTATATGGGTTAACTCTTACAAGATGTGAGTATTGTTGAATTTGGGTTAATAAAAACTAAACGCCAAAACGTGGAATGAACAAAGCTTCTATTAAATCAAACATAGTAAGTATAAGATGATGAGGAACCATTCAAAAAAAGCCACAGATAGAAAACTGAGAGATCCAAACAATCGTCTTGAAAGATGAAGCTACCCAGAAGCAATTTTTGAATATCGGGTGTACCCCTGCAGGGGGTCTTTCATTCTCTCCAGTTTTGTATCACAATTCCAATGCTTTATTGCAGTTTAAACCACCTCAAAGCATTTCTGCATATGATCCCGATGAATATGATCCCCAAGGGAACTGATGATAAACCATGCATTTTTGTTAGGGGTACCCATGGATACCCCATTCTTGGGGCAAACCTATACCCAAAACATGTTTCCGAGAAGCTGCTCGGCAAAGGCTCTGGCTTTGTGCCATCCAAACCAATGTAACAATAAGCACAAAAAGGGGTAGATTTAAAACATGTTTATTTTAATTTAATGTTTTTAGATAGTCCGTTGACCCCCACTTTGAATCAACGCAACCATCATCCCATGTGCTTTGAATGACGTTCTCAAAAATAATCCTTCCCCCCAGGCGGTCCGAGAACATTCTGCGAATGCCCTGATTGTGTGGGAAGTAGCATGCTCTCACCTTTCCGTCCATTTTCAAGTTTCAGAATTTGATTTTCCCAAATTTGCTCCTGCCAGCCTGGGTGGTTTATGGCATTTTACCCTAGTTAAGGACCATGGGAACAACCTTTTTTTCATGTTTACAAGCCAGTTGAAAGGGTCCCAAGTCAGCAACATTCTTGCCATGCATATTAAAGCTTAGAAAACGACCCTTGTGCCGCAAAGGTTGCAGTGTGCTTAGAACGTGCCCGCACAGAGGACGGGAAAAAAAACTGTTGTATGATAAGTGAGCGTAGTGACCCTCCGGTATTCGTGGCTGGAAAATCTCCACCATTTCTCGATGACTTTTCAATTGCCACGTTTGATCCGGGTAAGTGAAACGGCGTGCCATGATTCTGAAGATGGCGTTTTCCTCAGCTGTTTCGACCAAATGGGCGAAACAAATCTGTAGAGAGAGGGATGATGGGATTGCTGGTTGGTGGTGACTGGAACATGTTTTATGACTTTCCAGAAACAGTTGGGAAGTTCGTTGTTCCCAACTGTTACTCAGCCCATCATTTTTCGGGTAGGGCGAAAAACCACCAACCAGATATATGTATATATATATCCCATTATAGTCCCATTAAACCATATCAAACCACCATGGAAAATACCCCCTTCCATCATTCCACTGAAAATCCCCATGATTGGTATTCCTTCAGAGATCATCCTACTGAATTTCTACAACGGCCTTGGTTGGATCATGGTGGATCTCTTGATGCTTCCCCGGTTTTTTCGGGATGTTTTTATGGATGTTCTAGGACTCAAACCGGGCGGAAAATTCGCCGTTTATAGATATGTTTTTTTTTCCTATTTACACTCTGGTTATTTAACATAGCCATGGAAAATGGCCCATTTATAGATGATTTCCCAGCTAGAAACCTCCATTTATACGGGATGTTCCATGGCTATGTTAAATAACCAGAGGGTATAAGGGAATTCCAATGTTCACGTTTGATTCCGGGAGAGTATATGTTATTTGGTACAGATCATGGTACAAATCTACAAAGTCCCAAGCTGTAGGGCGCCCACTGATGGCCTAAATTTATTATTCCTCCCAAGTCACAGGTCTTTATTTGGCTGTATCCCCATCAGATGTCCCTCTTTCAACCGCTTAGTTCAGGTGTAAGTTATTCCATAGATATACTCGGATAGTAAATGTGATCTCTATCCAGACTTTAGGTTTTCTGCTATTCACTGGGAGATAAACTCTACGGAACCAATTCTGGGAGTTCTGAATCTCTAAGAACTGATATGAAATCATCAAGGTGATGTTTCCCTCATGGATTTTCCCAGGAGTTTCTGGGAAATCTGAAGGGCACTCGTGTAGCCTTCGGAGAAGCTCATGCCTGTGAAGGGCATGACTGGAAGGCCCACCTGTTGACCTCTGTGGATTAGGAGGGGAAAAATCATCGGAAACCATGGCTTTCTGACCAGATATAGACGGTTTCCTGACATGGGGATATCCCCAAATCCTTTTTAAGAGGATTTTCCATTGTAAACCATCCAGCTATTGGGGAACCCCCATTTGTGGAAGCCTCCATATTGAGGTTCTTTAAGGTTTCCTGTAATTTTCCAGAGTCATAGAGGATACGAAGGCCTATTCTGGAAGATCGTCCCGGCGCGAGATCACTATTGAGATGAATCCGCCAATTGTAGCCAGGATATATTGTGTGAATAAGACCTTGTCATGAATGCTTGGACTTGGGGAATCCATCAAGTCATCCTCTAAAGATCTCTAAAGTATGGCCTTGACTCCGTGTTTGGGATTTATTCTGAAGTATACGAAAGTTTCAGTCTGCTGCCTCCCGGTATCATCAGATCATCTGCTTTCCATCAACATGGCGATACATCTCGCAGATTGCAGGCAAATTTTGGTGACTTGTTGAAGGAGATAAGGTTGAGCCATAAAAAAAAAGTTTAGGTTAGGATATCATGACATCCAGAAATAGTAAAAAGGAAAACAGGGTATCCGAGGTACCAGTAGCTCATCGCCATGAAGTTAAAACATTACTAGGAAGATCTAGGACGTGGGCGTGGGTGCTTCATAGCCCTGGATCTGGTGGCTTGGAATTATACTGGTTGGTGGTTTGGAACATGAATGGATTATTTTCCATGTCATATATGGGATGTCATCCTTCCCATTGACGGGCTCATATTTTTCAGAGGGGTAGGTATACCAGTATACCACCAACCAGATATATTATTCATTAGATCAGGTATTAATCACCAATAACCACTATTAACCACTATTAATCACTATTAACCATGGTTATTGCCGACCAATGATATGTTTGATCCCCCAGTTTGAGCCACACCTTTGGTCATCTTCGGGTTGAAAATCCATATCGATCCGTTTTTGAGTGTCCAATAATTTAAGACCCACATGATTCGGATATATATATATACCCTTTGGTAAACGTTTACATAGCTATAGAAAATCACCAATCACCATTTATAATAGGTAAATCAATGTAAATCAACTATTTTACTATGATCATTTTCAAGTTCGCAAACTGTTGTCATTACCAGGCCGGGTATATATCTCATCTTGCTGGGATGGACGTTGCCCGAATAATGGCAAAGTCTCATGTTTTCCCCATCTAAATGGGACAACCCCATACAGTGATTGGTGAAATCGTCGCGTTTTAATTGTCAAATCCTAGTTTTGCCTGGCTAATTACCCTCTGGTAAACTAACATAGCTATGGAAAATCACTATTTTTAATGGGAAAACTCACTATAAATGGCCATTTTCAATAGCTATGTTAAATTACCAGAGGGTATATGTTTGATTCGCTCTTGTGTTGGTTTCTACACCGATTCGTTTTTGATGGTTGGATCCGCTAGTGTTTGAGCGCAAGCAGCCCAAGTTGTGTTTTTTTCAGCTGTGCAACTGGAGGTCTTTTTGGAACACATCTTCATGGAGGCCATTTTGCAGAAGGGTCAATGGCAAGAGACATGGTGGTTTTTTTAGGGTTTTTTTTTACATGTTTTTTACCAACAAAATGGAGATTTACCTAACAAGTTGGTGGATATGGTATCATCAAAATCAGGATTTCAAGGAAAACAAAGCTGTTTTTTTTTTCCTCCCTGGCCTTGGAGTATGGCACTTTGAGTCCTTTGTAAAGTGTGTGGTTTGTGGTTAAAACAATGCCATTTGCACCCACCATCCCCAAAATCCCCATGTTTATAGGTGGTATAGTATGTTTACCATTCCCAGTCATGGGTGGTAAACATGACATTGTTTCAACTACAGATATATACACAAATGGTTTTGGAAGCAACGACTTTTATAAGGTTCTAGTCATGTTATGTCATATGTTGATTCATTTTGCATGTTTACTTCCCGCGCCAGGCACGACAGGGCTGTTTGCAAGCAGCCCAAAGCACGGCACAATGTGCTTTGGTCTCCTGGTTGCACAACTCAGCCGTCCGCATCGTTTGGCATAGTTTGATGCCATGTGCCTGGAAAACATTGATGTATCCACTATTGAGATAGGGGATTAACCTGTTTTTGATGGGTTACCCTCTGATAATTTAACATAACTATGGAAAATCACCATTTATAGTGAGTTTTCCCATGAAAAATGATGATTTTCCATAGTTATGTTGAATTACCAGAGGGTACCTGTTTTTGATGGGTTATATAGGCAATTCTGCTACCAATGATGGGTTAAGATAATATCGTAATCTTTCTACACTATGTGAGTTGGGGTATGAATCAGTGAAAGCTACAGCTCTAGGCTGGGAACTTGGTAGCTGTATAGATCAGCATCTTTGCCACCAACTGCTCGTGACTCTTTGTTCCACTGGCTCATGTAAAGCCACGGACCCACACGGTTTGGTGGCACATCATTCAGCGAGTTCTGTTTGAGAGCTTAATCCCTTGGAACATGACAATCCTTCCCCCCTGCCAATAAATTTCCCTGGACAATTAACCGTAGTTTCAGACTGGATGTGTGTGTGTTCATGTCAGTTCATTTGTGGGTCCAACATTTCAGGATTTTGCAAAAGAGATTACCCTGCAGCAATCAAACATGGCTTGCTAGATAATCCACCATTTAGGTCAGCAATACTTTCCTAGCGAACTAAAAACCTCCATTTAGATAGTTCGGGGATGTTCCATATTTGTCCATTATTTTCCTGTACCCTCTGGTTATTTAACAGTTCGCCATGGTATAGATGGCCCATTTATAGATGATTTTCCCATTAAACCGCCCATTTATTTTGGGGATTTTCCATGGCTATGTTAGTCATAACCAGATGGTAGTTTGATGACTTTTCCAGCTATCTCCATGGCTAGTTCGGGGATTTTCCATATTTGTCCACTATTTTCCTGTATATTCCATGAATTTCCTGTATTTTCCTAGGGGATTTCTCACAGCTTGCAACTTCGGTCGATCCCAAGGAACTTCATCCAGCCACGGGGCGTTTGTGGTGCCACGGGGAATTGGAACCATGTGGGATGTGGGACCAATCGACGATCAAAACGGGAAGCCCATGGTAGAAGAGTCATACTTGAGGAGTTGTTACCCTCTGGTAAACATACAAAAAACTATGGAAAGATCCACCATGTTCAATGGGTAAATCCACTAGAAATTGTCATTTTCAATAGCTATGTGGCTATGTTAAATTACCAGAGGGTACATGTGCTTACCATTTTCAGTGGTATACTAAACCATACTAAACCGCTAAAGACATGTGTTGTTCAGGGTAAGTGAGATTGGCCATGGAGAGGGCACTTTCAAAACCTAACCTGGTTCGTTGTCACTCTCTGAGGTTATTAGCTGTAAGGTTAAGATTGCGATGTTGAATATACCTCATCTCATATCTTTGGATAGACCAGGGGAGCCAACGACAGTGTAAACAAATGCCACTGAAGGCGGGAGTACATAGCAAGTATATATATATAATTAACGGAAAAGAACCAGCAGACATGGATTAAGCATGAAACAGCAACAAGAATGAGCACAAGACAAAAAAAGTTGTCACAAAACATCCAAGTTTCCCCCAACTAGTTGACATTGTGCTTACAAAGTACCTGGACATCAAAACAGCCAAGATCGGCCCAGCTTCGCCGCTGGCTAGCCGTCCAATGGTAACTGGTTCTTCTAAAAAGCTCTAGTGACATAGTAGGAAAAGTGATCATGGGCCCAGTAGGGACTTGCAAACCTCTGTTCTACTGAGATCAGATCATCCGTCCTCTGTTCCTGGGATCATTGTACCATTAATCAATGGTCATATGATATCTGTTGAAACCCTAGGTGCTTGGGACGTTAGTAGGCAAGCTGCTGAATGCCGCAGTCGGTAGGGAGATGGTCCAAGATGAATTGCTGAAAATCTCCCTACATGAAGGGCCCACCAGTAGTGGTTGTTGGTTTGTAACCCTATATAACTCGATCCAACTATAGATGAATCTCCACCATAGGTCCAAAAGTTCTTGTATGAGCAAATCAACAGAAACCTATGCAAGTTAGCTGGGCCTTATAGCCCATTATATTGCCGATGAATAAATTCAATGATAAACACATAGATAATGGGATTATATCACTATCCGTGAGCAGTAAATGTTAGACATTACTACCAAACACCACCAACATTACCTTATATTTATAATTAATCACCATTAATCACCATTAATCATTACCATTAATGCCCATAAAATGGATTAAATTGGTTGGTTCTCCCCGGGAGGTCTGCCCTAGTGGCTCTGCACCATTCGGGCGAGGGAGGAGTCTCTCGGAGATCCATTTTTTCGCGTTGGGACATCGGCCCAAACAGCGTGATATCTATTCAGGGTGGTGCCCTCCAGTTATATGATTTATAAGCCTCATTAACCATAGATATATCTATCGTGAACATCCGTGAACCATAGCTAAGCTAGCTATAGACCAACTTGCATACCTAGGTCCCATTGCAAGTGGACATAATTACTGGTTGGTGGTTTGGAACATAAATTTTATTTTCCCATATATTGGGAATAATCATCCCAACTGACGAACTCATATTTTTCAGAGGGGTAGGTCTACCACCAACCAGATATATATTTATATCCCATTATAGTCCCATTAAGCCATATCAAACCACCATTTTGATGTCAAAAGCTCATTTTTTGCTGCTTCAAAGCCCTATCATGATAGTTATAGGGCCTCCATATCCTATCGGGGTGAACTCATCACGCCCATGACCTGCAGGACCGTACATGGCTTATTTAAGGGCGTTTAAAACAAGTGGATCGCCAAGGGCAGATACGGAAGATTTCCCCCCCAATTTGGGGATGATATCAGTGAAGTCCAAGTGATGTAGATTTTTGGGCTTCAAATGAATGAAATCTATGGAGCATACATGAATATATATATATATGAATATATTACATGAATATATATATATATATAT